TTCATGGCCTGTCATTCCTGTGCAACGCTGCCATCCACTGTCGATCTTTACATGTCACCTCCTGATCACTGTTGTGGTTATCTGAATGGAGAAGGCTTTTCCTACTTACATACACGTTAATTACTGTAGTCAACCCCCCTTCATTTGACCTTCCCTTGGCTGCTCAGTTTTCTTGACATGCCTGTGTTGATTTGGGCTCACAGGAGCACAGGGAGTGTTCGGTACAAGGCATGATAACAAAAGTTATGGTCTCTCAGTGTGGAAGACAAGGAGCTAGGGAGGAGGTAGGTTGGAGATGTATAAAGTCATGAATATCATGGAGAGGGTGGATAGTGACTGACTGTTCTGTACCTCTCGATAGACGAAGTGTGAGGTTTGTGAATCTGGTAGGAAGACGGAGGCTACTTTTTGATCTGCGGGTTTCACACTTGGGAGTTCTTGCTGTAAGGTGTTGTTGAGTGTCAGAAGTTTATGGGCAGTAAGGGGAGACAAACACAGCCTTGTGGGGGGAAAAGGCTGGTTATGGTTACTAAACACAGAGAATCACTTTGGCTCAGGATGTCCTGGCACAGCAAACTTTAGGAACTTTGAAGGAAGTCCTTAGGAGGTTTCTGTGTGTGTTTTCCAAATCCTTTGTCTTCTTCCCTGTGCATCTGCTTTGGGTTCCTTTTGCAGGCATGATACTGCCTTGGCAAGCTGGATTGGGCTCAGCAGTGTGCTGTTATTCTCTTAGTAGAACATAGCAATAAGGTAATTTAGGCTTTTAAGTGTGACCAAGCATGCTGCTTCTTCTGAATCCCTCTTTAGCATTTTATCTGAATTCTTCTTATAACTCAAGTCCAACAAACTTGATCTGGGTTCCTGTTACAGAAATTTTCAGGTCCAAAGTTGCTGTTTTGATGGTTTTTTGATGTATAAGGAATTTCTTCTGTTGCAGTGTAAATGACAACATTCTAGATGCATGTTGCTGCTGTCCTTTTTGTAGCAATATAGTGCATGGTTACTGTAGGCATGGGTTTGGGTCTTCTTCAGCATAGCATGATTTTATAGCATATGCTATATAGTTAGCACATACTAAAGTGGTAGCATACACTAAAGACAGAACAGAAATGCATCACTGTTCTCCCAGACAGATGTTGGTCCATGCGTACTCCTTATCCCAGGGATTGTGGATCTGTCGGAGTTTGAGGAATGATGGAGTAGATACCAGGTGTTCAGAAGCAGCTCATCACAAAGCGTGAAGGATAAAATGGAATGGAACAATGTGTTTGAACATGTTGTGTGATACTGGAGAATCCCCAGTGCATTCATGTTGTCTTTTGTCGCTACCTAAATATATTTGAGTGCTTTTCCTCCACATGTCCATTTTAAGGTGAGTGTCCATCTTGAGAACTTTTGGCTGCCTTGTCATTTCAATCCATGTGTATTTCTTGGCACTTTGCTCATGCATTATGCTACAAATGTTTAAAAAACCACCAATGAAACAACACAACAATTTACAACCAGCCAAAAAAAAAAACAAAACCAAAAAAAATCCCAGCAAAAAAATCCCCACCAAAACCCCAAACCAACACCCCCACCCCCTTCAAGCTAACAAAACCAACCAAAGCGCAGTGCAGAACAAACTGCAGTTTACCTTTCCTGTTTTCCTTTGGGAACTGCGATTTCCATCCTCAGCAAAACTGCAGTTACTCTTGTTCAAGCTCATTCCTCATTTGAACTTGAGATAGATTTAAAGTGCAAAGGTGAATATAGACTTTACATCTTCCTTCTTCCGAGCTTCATCAGTAAAGGGACCCTTCTATGTCTGATTGTTCAGGCTTTAATATCGGGATCATGAATTATTCCAATAGATCTCATATGACTAATGTAATTTCTACAACTTTTCCAAATACCTGCATCTTGTCTCTTCTCTCTCCACTCAGACCATTAGTCTTCAGAATGTGTAACTCTGGCCCAGAAAGATCATTTCTTAGATGTTTACTGCTTCTCAGATAATAGCTGGAAAGGATCAGCCGTGAGAGCTTGGAAATCTGCATAGTGATTTTGGTTTTTATCTTTATCTTTTTTTTTTTATGGGCAGGTACCTGACTATTGAGCTGTTCACCTAATGAAAATTTCCAATCTTTTGCTCCTTTCAGGAAAGGCAAGAGACTCGGGGAGGTCCTGAGACAGCATTCCTTAGGACATGATTCTCCTGAGACCATGCCTGAAAAATCTGTACAAGACAATTCCTCAGCTATGGGTCAGTCAGGCTGTGCCTGTGTTGTTGTGTCCCTGCAGCACTTCCTAATCATGGAGAGACCAGTTTGCTTATTCAGATCTCATTTCAAGGACACTGCTGAACAGATAATTCACCCATTTGCTTTGCAGAGAGCATGAAGGGTATTGCTAGCCACTAAAAAAAAATTAAAGTATATATCTTGGTCAGCCTAACTTAGCTGTGAATTATGTATGATAGTGTTCTATAACTGCAGTCCATGCAGCTTGGATGACCTCTAAAAAACACTCAAATCCTGACACCTGCAAGGCATAATCTGTCTGTAGGGAAAGAGATTGATGTCATGGTAATATCATGACTTTAGATGTATGTTACTGGACAGCAGTGCAGCCCTTAATGTACAGTATTATATGTATAATAAAATATACCTACCGCTTGATTGCTGTAGGTATGTTGTATATATGTAGGCATATATCCATATCCTGCTTCACTGCTGCCTTCAGGCCTTTCCTTAGCCCTGTCTTGTGCTACTTGCCCACCTTCTCGAGTGGTAGTGGGGAATGGGAACACTGGACATTGTGCTACCAACCAGCAAGAAAAAACATATCGCATCTTTGTGCCTGCTGTGAAGGTGAAGGCGCAGTAGGTGGCTGCTCTTGTGGGTTTGGCTGGACTCCATGGGCTTTGGAAGGTAATTGCTAGAAGAAATGATGGTTATGGTGTCTCTAGTATCACTCTGTTTTGCTTCTCTGGTGCGAGGCAGGTTCCCCAGCTGTTGAACATCACAAGGGCTAGTTCCAGCTTTGCAGAGAGATGAGACTGGTTTGGAAGCAGAGGGTTAGGCAGGTGGGATGAGGGATGCATGCACCCAAAGCCCAAGGACAAGGAGATAGAGTAGTACTGTTTTTTTTGGTGGGGTTTTTTTGTTTGGTTTTTTTTTGGTGCTGCAGAAGATTCAGGTGCCATTGTCCTATATGTCTTGATAAAAAAGACTTTACTAAAGACAACTTAAAAGCTCAAATAACGAATCTACCCCTTGGAATCCATCTGTTGTGAAATTTAGAGGGTGCTAGCACTTGAAATAAAGTTCATACAGTCTCTGGCATCCTTCAAGATGACACAGGCATGTCTTACGTGATGAGGAAACAAAGAGAACAGTAGTTCCAGAAACTCTTTGCCTTGGGCCAGTGTATGAGGATAACTGGAACTTGTGAGAGAACAGCATGAATCACACAGGCAATTTCCCCATGCCCGGCTCTTTGAACACCTGCTGCAGTTTGCAGCGAAGTACAGCTCGAGATAATGCATTGTGAAGAACCTTGTTTAAGAAGATAAGACACTCTATTTGGCTATATTTGTTTAATTTTAAATGAATTTGAGGAAGCTGGAAAAAAAATCCAGCTTTTACATATCTGCAAAATTGCCATTGAGGTTTATCCATGTAAAATATAAAACGCAGAAGCATGTTTGTTCAGAGTGTATGGTTTTCTAACATAGGAGAAAATAAGGACATGAAATATATTTGCAGATTACTTTATGCAGCCATACCCTTAGTTTCCTTTTATGAACAGTTAAGGAATAAGGCTTTTGGTAGCTTTTGAGATTAATGTGTTGAGATATCTTCACAAGGGAATAATTAGCAGGCAATGGACAACTGCTGATAGAAACTGTTAATCACAGAGTGTATATTAAGTGCCAAAACATGACTTTCTTTCCCTTGGTTGACATTTAAGCCTAATGAAATCTGTACTGCCACATTGCATGAGGGTGAGCTGACTAGTTTCCTGCTGTAATTGTAGAATGAGTGTTTGGTGGGTTTTGCCCCCTCTCCACCCTTTTTTAAAAACCTTTAAAAAACATACTGAATGAGTTGGTGAATCTGGTGCCAAAAGAATAATATATTGTAGTAGTTTTAAGTGGAATTTTACACTGATACTGAATTAAGTTCCTTTTTTTTTTCCCCACTGGAGTTGACTGAAATTAGCATCTGCCATTAAGACTATAGTGAAGTAAGCCGTGAGAGGTACTAAATTGTCCTTGAGCCTTCTTACCTTGGGGTGTAAGTTCCACTATGTTGCTGTCCCTTCTTTATTCTGTTTTCCTCATAAGGAGGCCTTTGTGACCAAACTCTACGGGGTTTTTTTTCTTTCCACCTTAATTATATTTAAGATCTTTTCTTCTCCAACAAATACAATTTGAGCTGGCACTCCAGGTTTCAAAGGTAAAAGAATTCATACAGGTTTTTGTTTAAAGACAACAGAACCCCACACCCCCAGAACCAACATCCCCACAAAAACCCTGGGCAGGAAAGAGGAGCATTGTGAATCTGTCAGCCAGGGCCGGAATGCCATATGCTTTCTCCTTCTGAACACCAAAGTCTCCATTGCCTTGACTGCTCTTGGAAAGGTCTTGCTTACTTTATGTTTTGCAAACAAAATCTCTTTGAACACAAATGAATTCTTTACATGATACTGATATACATATGTATACATATACATATGTATGTGCTGTGAGTTTTGCAAACTGAAGATTATAAAATAAAATGTCTAGAATTAACGTTTCCTGTGCTGTGCACCTCTTTAAAAGGTATTGTTAAGTCTGAAGCGTACCTCTCCCTTATGGAATACAGTTGTTATGAAGAGATGTCTAACTGCTGGTGTTTAATTTACCAAATATAATCAAACTGTTTCAGTTGAGGGATAAAATAATGTTGTTCACAGTAAGTTGCTCTTGTAATAGAAATTGTAGCACAAACAGTGTTTGCCATTTTTGTCTTCAGAATGATTGAGGAGAGTGGGAAGAGGAGGAGGACAATGGCAGAGAAGAGACAGCTGTTCATGGAAATGAGTAAGTAAGAAATGTGAAGATATAATATCATTTATTCTTTACTGAGAGCTTCACTTTGATAGTTTTAACAGTTCATTTGCATCTTATTTCTACAACACCATTGCCTCATCTAGTGAAAAGTATCCTGGATGCTCCTGGGTGCTGCTCAGGAGGAGAAAATGAGGTGGGTCACAAATTCATTACTAGGTTTTGTGATGCTCCTTCTTTAAGGAATATTCACATTCCTCGTATATGGCAATATCTAAAGTTTGCGGGCAACTATTAAAATAATTAATGATAACAGGAAGATCGCCTTTTAACTTAAAAATAAGAAAGGCACCACAATGCTGGCTTGACATGGGAGAGGAACAGTTTGAGGGGTTTGGGGGGTTGTTTTTTGCACAGGCACATTCTCTGAAGAAGAAGCTATCATTGTTACAAATATCAAATGCCTGTCCAGAGATACTATAATTTAAAGGAATGAGACATAGCCTTTTATGAAGATATGTGCAGTTAGATGTTAAAGGCTGTATGTTTGCAAGGCATTGTGTTATTTTACCTTCCTATGGGAACACAGGACTGAACTAAACACAAAGTTAGGCAAGTGTGTCCTGTAGTCCCAGTTATAGGCTGGTGAAGGTCTGTCTTAAGCCAATAATATATTCATGCTCTTTTATTGAAGGAATTCCAGAGTAACATTCTTACTGTGGTTATAAGCGGCTTATAATTTCAGGAACAGTTTCATTCCTGGCTAATTTATATCTGCTTCCTGTCATGTGAGAGCAGTCTTGGATAGTATTTCTCCCCAGCTTTGCAGCTTGTTCTGTGTTTGAGTTCATAGCCGGGTCCCTTTGGGCTTGCTCAACATATGGCAGAAGTGAGCTCCTGTGGTCTGCCTGCTGTACACCTTCTCTCCCCTTCTTCTCTGCCTTTGTTCAGTTTTACTTGAGCAAAGGTGACTGAATTGCGTGTGATATCCTGGGAAACCTTATCAGAATGTTTTAAAATGACAATAGTACTTCTCCACTGGAAATGCTTTGAATGATGCCTCAGTGTTTGACAGTTGTCTCATCACTTTCAAGTGTTCTAGTCATCTTGTGGTCATTTAGTGCAGATTGACTTGCTAGTTTTTAGCTTAGGCTAAATCATCAAAAATATTCTGAATTCTTCTGATTATCTTTATACAAGGTATCTTTGCAGCTGTGGTCTTGCTGTTCACTATCAGGGAAAGTGCTGGTGCACAGACATTCTGAATCACCTTTCTCTGTGAGGCTCTTCAGCATATCAGTATGAGAAATCTAAGGGCTTCAAGCTTCACCTGTCCTGTGGTGGAGTATCTCACTGTCAAGTAGACACATAAATGTTTGCCTTTCTAGGTGAGCTTCATACACAGAGATGTGTGATGTGTAAAATCAATGCTTTCAGTGACCATTTGTTGCTGCTCAACATACAAATTTGCTCAAGTGTTCAGATAATTCTTCATGCAAGACAAGAGTAGACCTTGGCATTCACCCACACTGGCCATGCTACCCACAGGGATGGGTGTGTTGGTTTTGCAGTACTTACGGAGTGGTCTGATGGGCAAGAATTCTGTGCAAGCTGTTCAATTTCTCTGAAGTGTAGAAAACATACCGAGTTTACCTTATGGAAGGGTATAAAGAAGATGGAGCTGGACTTTTCTCAGCCCAGTGGCAGAGTACCAGGCAGTGGGCACAAACTGAAACAGCAAATACCATCTACCATGAGAACAAACATTTTTACTGGGAGAGGTTGCTGAGTGAAGTTGTGGAGTCTGTGTTGTTGCAGATATTCAAAACTTAACTAAATACAGTCTTGGGCAGATTGCTGTAGCTGGTCCTGCCTGAGCTTGGGATGTTGATCTTTAGCCTGGCCCAGCCATTCTCTCCATTCTTTCCAGCCTCCACCATTCTGTGATTCTGAGCTGCATAGATTGTCTTGAAAACAGACCCCACTTCATCTTCAGATAGTTTAGAAGAAAGACCTTCTTGAAGCTTTTGTGGTAATGTGATACAGGCAGACAAGAACAGAAGATGGGTGACTTTTTGGTTTTGCTTGTAGTTGTTAAATGACCTTTTATATATGTATAAATATACATGTGTTTTGTATACATATATAGACTAAGCATTTTGTGAAGTCTCATGGTCTCTGAAAATGCCTTCTGTGGTTTGAAAGACAGAAGTATGCACCCTAACTGAGAGCTCTGAAAGAATGTTGCATAGAAAACACAAAATTACCTACTTTGTGTAGCCTTGGATCTGAATACTCCAGCTTGTGTTACCTGGCCAAGTACTTTCCTGCAATATACCTGAGACTAGTTTTCTAAAGATGATACTGGAAAGTAATCCACTTAGGTTTGTTGTACCATACTGTCAAGCAGTACATATCTTGAATGTTAGCTAGTCTAGTGCCACTCTTAGGTCATCTGTTGTGGGGAGCCTTTGGAATCTGGTCAGCCTCTTCACTGGTCTTGAGAGCCTTTTCACCTCCCCTTCTGCATCAGAAATGAAAATGGATAATCCTTGTACATTTCTTTAGAGACACAGTACCTAGGTCTCTAAGAACAAGCTGATGCTTTGGCATTGTGCAGATGCTTTCGTGTTGTGTTTCTGAAATTGCAGTGAAATATCTCAAAGACAGGAATACTTTCTTAAATTTGCATCAGTGAGTCAGTGGGTGAATACATAAAGGTAATTCAAATTTGGTATTTGCAAGTTGGTTTCTGAATTCAGGATGTAGGAGGGAGTAAGTTAACACCTTTGAGCAAGACACACTCCCCCCCCCAGTACACTAATCTGGTATCTTCTTTGGGAGGTTGTGGGTTTGTGGGGTTTTTTAGGTACCTTTTAAAAGTCTGAATTCTTCAAGTCGGTTATCCCTGCTTCTCAGTTCTCCATTCATTGAGGCTCTGGCTTTTGAGGGAAGGACAGACTGCCACAGATCCTGCTTCTGGGCATTCCAGTGGGAATACAAGAGGCACAGGAGCCACGTGCATCAATGCCATTGCCCATGTGCGCGTGGATAATTTCAGTCTACACCTCAGATACATTGATTGTAGGTCACAGCCACTGACGCTGTTGAGATGTGAGCCATTTAAAAGGCATTTTGGTTTATGATTAATGGGATTGACTTGTTGGCTCCTTCCAAATTAAAATGAACAATACTGGACTTTAAACCAGTGTCATTTATCATCCCCACATAATTTATCATCTCTAGTCAGTTTAGAAGGAACACGGGTCTGTTTGTCAGAGAGTTAACATAACTTTCTGAAATTCCTCATGTTTGCAACGCTCAGAGTAGTTGCTGGAACTGGTAGGTGTGGTACAGGCTGGTGACAGGTAATAGCATTCACCTCTTCTGCAATGTGTCATTCTTCAAAGGTATAACACACATCTTGAAGAGGGAGTTTGTTGGTGAAGATATGTTTTTCTTTTATGCCATTTCTTCTGCTGCTTACCTGATCTGAATCTCTTTAGGAAACCAAAAGCATGTTCCTGATGGGTCTGCAGTGCAGGTGGTGGTGGGAGGACTAACCCCCCTCCCCTTACCTCTTATCTCCTGTGTGCATGTCTTCCAACAGCAGAACAATCCTCTTCCTTACCCACTCACTGCTTGATCCTTGCTTTTAAGATACTCATACTAGTGTCAAACTTAGCTCAGTTTATAATATGCTGCTGAAAATCACTTTACCATGAGTTATCTAGTGAAAATCTTTGTTAGGTTCATATGACAAAGACGATGTATATGAAGAAACAATCATACCGGTTTTGAAGTAATTCTCTCAGATAAGCCGTCTGTTACAGAGCAAAGAAACACGCAAACTTTTTTTTATTCATAGGAGCACAGAATTTTGATGTCATCAGACTTTCAACGTATCGAACAGCCTGTAAACTGCGGTTTGTACAAAAGAGATGTAATCGTAAGTTATAATTACTCTTTACCTTCAAAAATTACTCATGCATGATTGTTTCAAATATTCTATCCCTGTTAATTTGAAGTGTAGCAAGAGTAAGCAAACATTTTATCAGACAATGGTAGTTGTAACTTTAATCAGAGACCAAAAAAATATAACAAAAAAGAGACAGCAATCTTTGTCCAATACTTTGTAACATCTTCAGTTTTATTTTTTAATGATTCAAAAATTTAAAATATATGGGCCAGCTTGACGTATTTTGGTTGTCCTAACTATTTGGTGCACGCAGTCTTGAGCTGTTTGAGGTCCTGTTCCATCACAATGTACTACAAACTACCTGACAAGTAGGCACAGGAATGGGTTTGGTGATGCATTAATCCCATCACTGGCATGAAAGTGTCTGGATTTGGTCATGGTTCCCTGTGTGAAATGTGTCAGCTGTGAAGGATTCTTTAAAGTTCATACCATACTAATCAGTGTAAGTTTTGTCATTCTTTTCTGTGGGCCTTTGGCCTTGGGTAGCTCACCAAAGCAAAGGCTTGTGGCACGGGTGAGTAGGTGACACAACTTTGCATTCTGCTACCAGTTGAATTGGACAGCAAAAAGTGTAGCAGAAGAAGTACACAAGAGTTGGTCCCTTCTTTCAGAAAAGTGGAGTTATTGTGTGTCTGGTGTGGAGGAGGAGACAACAGCTGAGCGGTCCTGCAGAGGACATGGGCAACTGTACACTGCAAACTGTATCTTCTCCATACTGCTGTTGGCCCCAGGGGTGTGTGTCTTGGGGCTGTGTGGCAGTACCTGCAGTGCCTTTAGTGTGAAGGATGGATTACAGATTTTTCATTCCTGTGCAGAAGTGTTAGTCTGTGTCTGGAGTTCATACTTTTAAATTAAAAATCTCTCTTAATCAGTAGAGAAGTATTAAGAAATGCTAACTATAGTACATTGCACCTCTTGAGCCCAATTCACTGATGCAACGCATATGCCTCAAGTAACCTTTACGATACATGTAGGCGTAGCTGAGGCTGTACATTTATGGTCTTTGTCTGGACCACAGGGTAATCTGGGGCATATGTTTGGTGCAAATAGGTGCCTTGTCTTTTATCATTGTGTGGTATTTATGTGAAAAATGTAAAGACAAGTTTTATTAAAGAAATGTTAAAGATCACACCTTACTTCAGACCCCTTTTGTTGAACGAAGGTAGCTAACAAAATCTGTGAAGTTAGCAAATCAGTCTGTCCTTTGCAACTGTTGGCTCACGCTCAGTTTAGACTGATGGATTACTGCTGATCCTGTGTCTTCTCCCACTATCATGCACATCTTTCAAGCTTTGAAACATTAAAAAAATATTGTTTAATGTGGTTCTGCAGATGTCATACTGTGGGTTTGGAAAACATTCTGTGTTGTTAATGCTTCTTAAGATAGATGCTAAGATAAGGCAGCTAATTTAGGGAAACGCTTTGGAGTTCTAGGCCTATGTTTACGAAGTATTGTGCTCTGGACTTGGCAACTGGATAAACTGGAAACAGTCACAGTTTAACTGGAACATCAAGTTCCTCCTTCAGTACTCAACTACTAGTTATCATAAGGCTGTTCAAAATTATTGTGACCAGTTTGTAGTGGATTTAGAATGTGGCTGAAGTCCTCAAATGACGCTACCTAACTGCTAAAATGCACTGCATGATGACGGAAGACTGCTTTACTCCTATATGATGTTTTTCTGTCAGAGCACCCAGATGTTTAAGGGTGGGATATAAGTGCCACAAGATATCTGAGCACAGATCTGTTATGTTAAACTAGCTGACACAAACAATGAGTGAATATCAAGAGTGTCTCTCACTTTGAAAACGAAAAGTAACTGTTCTTTCCAAAATAAAAGCTAGCAGTATTTGGAAATAGCACCATAACAGTAAGCTTGCATGCTTTACGAAATAGAAGTTAATTTGTTTTCCTTTGTTTTTAGTTCATCTTGTTGATATCTGGAATATGATTGAAGCCTTCCGAGATAATGGCCTTAACACTTTGGATCATAACACAGAGATCAACGTGTCTCGACTAGAAACAATTATTTCATCCATCTACTACCAGCTAAACAAACGTCTTCCTTCTACTCACCAAATCAGTGTAGAGCAATCCATCAGCCTCCTCCTCAACTTCATGATAGCAGCATATGACAGGCTAGTAACTCCTCTAGTTGTATTCTTAAAACTAATTTTCTCTTTAAGTTAGATGAATGTAGCCAACAACTGCACGAGTCTTTGGCAAACTGTCCACATGCTGTTTCTCGAGTTCATGGAATTGTGTTGTGCACACACAGAGATGTATTTAATATCATAGTAGTGCCTGCAGAGATTTATGTTGCCACAGCAGTGATGCTGTGTCTTAAAAATTGATTTATTAAGAAAGATAGGTTAGTACCTTCTGGACCTTGCAGATTGCTGTAAACTGTGTATTTGAACTGAAGACAAAGTAAAACTGTGCTCTGCAGACTATGATAGAACATAATGTTAACGTCGTGGTGGTATAGCACTGTTTTAAAAAGTGAAACTGTTTTATTGAACCCTGATCAACAAGACTGTTTTATAATGCTACCTTGTTTTGGCAGTCAGCTTGCACCCCCTCTAACATACTATGAGCCCATAAAAGCTAATTCTCATTTCTTGGCTGGAAGAAGCCTGATTTCTTGATCAGGATCCTGTCTAGGTTTTTCCTTGCATACAGGCTTATGAGTTTCTTTCTCAGCCTCTTTCTTCAAGGTTTGATCTACTAGTCTTCCTCAGTAGGTGTGTCTCTGGGGGATTCTCTGATTCCACTGTCAGTTAGCACTCCTTACTTTTTGTCTTACATTTCTCACAGTCAGCTGTTATTTCAGTCTTATCTTTCTTCTGCCTCTCTCCTAGAGTAGAGGACTGCTTGTGGCCAGGACACTGTGTCACAGACTGAGGAGTTTCACCCAAGACAATTTGCAGTACTGAATATGCCCAGTAGTTGTTTTGTTGTGATGTCCAGGCTCTGATCCTTTCCTAATGTAACCCGTTATTGTTATCAAAGGGAGCTAGGTTTCCCCCAGATTAGTCCAAGACTTCAGAATAGTCCCTGTCTCACAAAGGGCAGATAAAAACAATGCAAAGATTAGAGCAGGAAGACTGCTACGACAACAGAATCACATGTGGATTTCTCTATTGAGTTTTCATTTGCTATTAGTTGTGAGACAAGCTGTAAAGGTTAGAGATAGGTCACATTAGAAAATAAAGAATTTAAAAATAGACATGGTCATGTTCTGGGGAGTTGGTTCAAAAGATTGAGGCTTTAGTTGAGACGTTTTTCTCCCTTGCTGCCCTCAACCCTTCAAGCTCTGCCTTTTCTGGAACCCAAGCAGCAAGCTGGATCCCAGCATAGTACAACAGCTTCTCTTTAGCTTCCTCCAGCTGGCACATGCTGCTCAGAGAGCCTGGGATGCTGCGCTGTTGTGCAGTGGGAGAATCGGGAATAAGTGGAGAGGCAGGGCTGAGGCTCCCCCTCCAGGAGTTCGTCAACATGGCAGACATTAACTTAGCCCAGAAGTAGCCAGATGCATGGGAATGGTGGCACTGGGGTAGCTATGTGTTTGCTTGAATGCACATAGTGCATTAAGCTTCTTACAACGCGGTGCTGGTGGTAACATCACCAACATTCCACCAGATAGGTACAGGAATCAAAGATCTGACTAACCTCTTCCCTACAGAAATATTTTAAGAGTTTCTGTTAGATAAGTATGAAAAACACCCACAATAGAATCATAAAATCATACATCAAACATTTCACTGGGACCCATAGAACAACCCTGACCATAGTGCAGAAATGATGGCTCGTGCAGCATCATCGGTGAGTTAAGGAAGAATGGCTGAGGTACAATGTTCTTTGCTGCTTTCTCCTGCAGAGCTTTGCGTAGGTGTTTGACAGTTTGTTCCTGGCCTGCTTTTCCCAATAGACTCTCAGGGCTTCCCAAGGTCCCTGACTCGCTATTGGCATCAAAGAGCTCATTCCCTGGCCCCGTCTGGCTGTGTCAGGACAGTCATTTGTTATTTCATTGTTTCTAGAAATCGCATTTAATTTGTCAGTGGTTTAGTTGCTCCATCTTCTTTTTTCATTTTGAATTGCAGGTATCACACCACGTTGTATACTGACAGTAAAGCAGTGTGCAGTAAGGGGGAGAGAGAAAATGACCAAAAAACAAGTGAGGAAGTGAGTTAGTGCGCAAGGTGTGGAGGGATGTGATTAAGAAGAGCCTCATAGTCAGCACAAAGGGCTCATTTCAAGCATATGTCAGGAAATGGCTGCAGATCAGTGCTGAGCAGAAAGCTCTTGTGCCTTTTCTGGGCAGTTAGCATGACTGGGTGACTCTGAAGTGGCTGTACCTTGCGTGCAGCTTGGGGGACAAACAGGAGGAAATAGTGGTCTGATTTCTCTTAAGAGGACACAGTAGGAGAGCTGACACCACTGGAGTGCTGCAGTGGGTTCTTTTAGAGGGACAGACAAGGAGGGAAGTTGCCCTTTACATGGGAGATTAGCTGGAGTGTGTGGAGCTCTGCCTGGGGATAGATGATGAGCCAGCTTGGAGCTGGAGTCAGGATCAGTAGGAAGGCTGACGTGGACGTTGTTCCTGTGGGTGTCTGCTACAGACCACCTAGTCAGGAAGACATAGAGGATGATGCTTCCTTCAGGCAACTTGAAGAAGCCTCACAGACTTTCTTTTTTAAACAAGTCCTCCAGTTCTGTTTCAAATCCTCAGAACTCCTAATTGTTATAGGAGTTTTAAAATAATACTGCAAGTTTTGCCCTTTTTCATTTCAGTGGGGAATTCAGCAGATTGAATTGCATTGGTACAGAAATCCTTTTTTGGCATGTTGCTTAAAAACACCTCTACCACATTGCAGAGGGAGGAGTTTGGAGGTTTTTCTTGATTAATACAAAATGTCAGCAGAAGCAGTCCTAATATCTGAAGGCACCATACAATACCTTTGCAAGGGCAAGTTTGTGTCCATTGATGACTTTAGTAACTTCTTTTTCCTGGAAATGAATTCAAAGCTGAACTTTAATTTGAAAGAAGAATGTCTTAAAAAGAAAGGAAGGTGCCTGAAACTATAACTTAAGGAGATTTGAATTAACTAGTAAGATTGGCTCAGATAAAAGTGGAGGTCAAGGCTTGAAGAGTGGTTAAAAGGGGACTGAATATCAACTAAGTGGTGGCCTTTGAATCACTGTTGCTCTCCAGAGCTCTTCCTGCAATTGTAGCTCTAGATTTGCCTTGCCTCTGTAGAGGGGATATTGGAAAGATACTTTGAGTCTGTATTACAGAAATAGCATGTTATATTTCAGTCACTTCTCAGCCTGAGAAAGGTTGAGAGCCTTTCCCTCACCATGGAGTGTGAAATGTTAGCAGAAGATAATATTTGCATATTAACTTTGAGTGTGAAAGGGGGAAAAACGTTATTTAGTTGCGTCCTGATGTCTCCATCTGGTTGCTCATCTGTCACTGACATTAGACCTTGTCACTACTTCAAATACCAGGAGCCAATATTTACTTTGAATAATTCTAATTTTAACACTTTCCAAGTGATAGTCATCCAAGTGCAAATGTTAAGTATGCATCTCATTTCCACTGAGAAGTAGTCTGGAGTTTATTCTAGATCCCTTCTAACACCCATCATGTATTTTCCCTGTCATCATATTTTCCGTGATAGTACAAATTATCCTTCCAATACAGTTAATTACAGTTCATTATAGGATCATAGACTGGTTTGGGTTGGAGAGGACCTTAAAGCTCATCCAGTTCCAGCCCCCACCACAGGCAGGGACACCTTCCACTAGACCAAGACTGGCCTTGAACACTTCCAGTGGTGGGGCAGCCACAGCTTCTCTGGGTAACCTGTGCCAGGGCCTCACCACCCTCATAGAGAAGAAATAGTTACTTGAACTTATTGTAATTCTTTTCCTCCTTTTACCCATGGCTTTAACTTTCTTGGTGGATTGTCAGTCTGCCCTGCTGTTGCTATATATAGTTAACCATAATGACTCAGTATGCTTTGCTTTGGCAGTAAGTTGTTCAGAATTCCAACAGCTCTTACTCATGTTTACACTCATTTCTTTTGCCTTACACACCACTAAAGCAATGTTCAACTGACTTCACAATAACACTGGACTTATACCGAGATCACTACTCTGTGGCTATTGTAGTATCATAAAGTGGAGGTTTTCCAAGTCCTGTCTTTAGTCCTATCAATGACAGAAGTTTAAGAGACAGGAAGGTGAGATGCATGCCAAATGGGCCAGCACTGAGCATCAACTGTGCTGTGCTTCACCCCAGCAAACCTCCTCCTGTGGTTCTTGTGAATTAATTCCCTCATCATTTCATCCTTCTTTCTTGTTAACAGGAAGAATACATGTTCCTGTTTTACATATCGTACGATGCTGAATGGGCTTTTGCATACTTTCCATAGAGACAAATTAGTTTTTTCTCTTGCTGATACTATAAAATGATTCCCCAGATGTACCATCTGTTCTGATAGCACAACAGCTTTATTAAATTAAAATAAAGCAATGTTAATTATTCCTGTTCTATGTGGTATAGGATTAAGGATATCTTACGACTTCTCCATTAACTGTCAATTACTGGACTAGTTTTAGAATGAAATGTGTATTTGAACATCAGAGTTTAGATCAAGGAGTGAAAATTTAAAGCAACTTCATGCAAGACAAGAGTAGACCTTGGCATTCACCAAGTGTGTTTTTCATAATTGTGCAAGAGAACTAACTTGATTTGTGATCAGGCACTTGTTAACTGTTCCAGTCTATTAAAAATGTTAGTGTTGTCAGTGGTTTAAAACTTGTTAACTGTTCCAATACCTTAAAAATGTTAGAGTTGTCAGTGGTTTAAAGTTACAGTAAAAACTTTTGGCAGATCTTAGTAGTTAATGGAGGGCTTTTTTTGCATTTCATTCCTAAGCCTCAAGTATTTTTATTACTTCTCATTTTGTGTAGTAATTCCTTACCATGTCATTTTTTCTCCACAGTGAGGGCCATGGGAAGCTGACAGTATTTTCGGTGAAAGCAATGTTAGCAACCATGTGTGGTGGTAAAATACTGGACAAACTCAGATGTAAGTATTTTAAAGAAACCATTTAGGAAATATCTTGTTGCCATGACCGGCCGTGTTTTATGGTATTAAGCTTTGAAAGCTACCCGGTTTTGCTTATTCAGCAGTCTTTATACTGAAATGAACTTGCTGTAGTAATGGTTTTGTCACACATGCCATCTGCTGGCCATAGAACGTACTGAGTTACTGAGTGCGCTTTACACGTACGTTTGGTTGTTTCAAAATGCTTGGGTATTTCTTTAAGTGTAAAACTTAAGGTAGTAATGTCAAATTTGTTGCCGTTGCCCCAGTTTTGAGGATGTTAAGGGGCTTCTGGATGTCTTCTGCCTCACTTGAGGTACTCTGCATCTTCTCATTCTGTAACACCAGCTTCTTAGTTCTTTTTTTACTCTTTTTTTTAATCCTTCTTTCATCAGTCTTTTTGTTTCATGCTTCATGAGCCTTCCGCTGTATCAGTAGAAAATCAGTGATACGGGGTTTGTCCTTTAGGAGTAATTTTTGTTCTGTCTTCCCAGTGGTAAGGTATACTGTGGTTCTGGGTGGTTTTTACTTTTCATTTCCACCCTGAAAAGTTGAGATATTAATTTTGCTGTCAGTGCCAGATTTTACTCTTCAGGTTTTGTCATTTTCACCTTACCCTAAATTCCCTTCATTAAAGTTATCTTGTAGCAATTTGTTCCTCCTAATCTCTATGGCTATCATTCACTGTAAATAAGCCTTTAGACTTTTCCACACTATTAAGCTTCTTTATTATATTTGCTTTAAAACTTGCAAATGTGAAATACTAGTGTGCCAAATGAAACTATGTAGCAGGGTGTGAAAAATAGTGAGAAACTGCATGTACATATTTAATATTAAGGCTGCTCATGTTTCAGTACCAGGAAATGCAGGGTTTTTATCTGGTAGTAACTATAAAATCTGATTTTAAAAAAGCTGCAGGTGGCTAAAGATTAGTGTTAAAGAAAGTAGATGACAGAGGATATTTAAGATACTTAAGCATTTTTAACAAATGCATTACCTCTATAAAATATGCAATATCAAATACTGAGGAAAAATATAGAGACTGCATTTCCTCTGTAAAAGATTACATTTTGGATTTAATTAGGATGAGATTTGAGGAGCTGACAGTAGATAAGCAATTCAGGCCTGGGACAGAAAAGGAGCTTTATTGCTAGAATTAGCAAGATAATACCGAAACACATCAAGAAAATGGTGCTCTTACCTATTAGTGGAAAAGGCTATTAACCACTGGAATGAAATGTTACACGGATCAGTAAAGTTTTGATGTTTTCAGACAAAGATCTAGATACTGTTCTGAAGGTTATGTTAAGCCTTAAGTTAATGATTCAAAAGGTGGCTTAAGGACACCTCATTTAATAGTGACACCTATTTAACAGGTGTGTCTAGTCTTAGAATTTGTGCATTTAATGTACTGTTCTCTGTCTTTTCATAATGTCTGCTTTTCTTCATAGCTTTTGAAACTTCCTTTTTTCTTTTTTTTTCTTGTTCTCTTGGTTCCCATGTTCTTTGCCACTCTAACTTCTTTAGAAAAATACCTAACTGATGTTCATACACATTGGAAGCTTTTGACTGCGTTCACTGAGCAGTGCTGCTTCTTACAGCATCGCTGTTTCTGGTTGTTGTGCCTGTTACTTATGCTTTCTTGCATCTTACCAGCTATCCTTTAGTTTGCAGTGTACTTCAGGGGTCTTCCCTCCAGTGTCATCTGTCCCTTTTTTCTTGGTGCACTCCTCTTTGGATGTGGAGCATTGTTTTCGAAGAGCATGTAGCTTCAATGTGTTTTGGACAGTAGCACTCCTGCTTGTTGCCCATGCTGCATACATTGGTGTAGGTACACTTCAGTTGGGCTATTGATCCTGTTACCTGTTTGTGGAGAGAAGCCCTAATTCCTATGTGACCATTCTCAGGTGCTTCCATGGCTCCTAATACATCCATAACCCTTAATCTTTCTGCCACATGGATCTCCAATACCTTGTCTCCACAGAGACAGCAGACTGTAGGACCTTGCTAGCACACTCAAAAACTGGCGTGCTGCCCCCAGGTTTATCTCTTGTAAGGACCTTTCCCCCTTCAAATCTAGCTTAAATCTCTTTCTGTGAGCCCTGCTATCTCCTTTTCCCCCTTGGAGACAGCAGGACTGGTGCTGGGTAAAGCGATGCACGATGGAATCCCCAAATTCTGCTAAACAACTAGATAAAGCAAGATTTCTCAACCTGGAAAGAGAAATGGTGCTGGAAGGATAGTGTTCTACAAAATCATGAGTAGCATGTTGGTGAAAACAGCTGTTTCATTCCCCTTCCAGTACAAGAACTAAAGGGGAAATCAGCAATGAAACAGCAATCAGACTGAAACAGCAAACCCCGTTATCTGAGCTTTACCAAAGGAGGTTGTCAGTATCAAACATTTACCCTGTTCAATTACTGCTTGAACTGATTTCACTGATGGCAAAATCATTTAAGGCTGCTGAATGCAGATACTCAGTGAGTGGAGGAGTGTTCTGGAAAACGTGCTTGCCTGAGCTATCTGCTGTTGGGATGAACAGGTTTTTGATCTGCTATGCCTCAGCTGTCCTCACTCTATTTTTTCTGGTTGTTATGAATATGCTGTCTTCTTGTTTCCTCTTTTCTGTCTTTCCCACCTCTCTTTGCTTACTGACCCATTTCATCACCGGCCTCCTTCTGTTTCCAGTTTACTTGTTTTTCTGATTCCAGGGGAATCCACGCTTCCAGAAATCAGGCTTCCTGGAAATTCTAATTTATTTTTTTTCCCCTCAGCATTTATATGAATGATAGTAACTTGGTCCCTGTACTTGCATATGTGTAGGCTTGTTTTTTTAAACTCTAGAAATGTGAACAAATGGAGTGTTTTTAAGTCCACACAGTGTCTGACAGAACATATGAAATGGCAGTTGTTCAATGCAACCACTTTGCTGTCTCTGGAAAAGATTTTTTCTGTGGCATGCAAGGTCAGAGTCGTAAAGCTAGCTTATTGCTGTGGACTCCATGATTTTTGTCAGTTTTTTTCAGCCTAAGAAGTTCCATGTAAAAATGTCAAATTTCATGGATTCAAATTACTTCATTCTGTCATTCAAGTAGATTCATTGTGAAGTAATTAGTGCTTCTTTCTGTGTCATTTCTGCAAGTAAGTTGTGAACAGAACTTTTTGTAAATCAGGACTCCATCCCACTCATTTTGAGGGCTGACTTCTCTGTTGACTGGCTCTACCTGTGGGCTGCGCCTGGGCTCCCTTGCCTCAACAGCTTCTATTTCTCACTTGCTATCTAGCGCTACATCATCCTTTAGTATTTACTGAAGTTCACCCTAAAATTCATACAGTAATGTTTGCTAAATACTGGGTTTCACATAATAAAGGTCCTGAAAGCTAATATGCTGTAGGTGAATTAGCCCAATTGTGGGGGGCTGATTTTGAAGAGAGGGTATTTTGTTTATTGGAGGAGTGAGGTGAAAGGGAAGTTATTTGTTTTGGCCTTAATCAGTGGACCAAAGTAGTAGTAGTAGTAATAATATGTGGTTTGTTGTGGTATCATGTCTCTTCAAACTGAAGAAACTCAGAGCACAATTTTGCACTACTGGAGCAAATCTGGAGGAGGTCACAAAGATGCTCTGAGAGCTGGAGCACCTCTGCTCTGGAGACAGGCTGAGAGAGCTGGGCTTGTTCAGCCTGGAGAAGAGAAGGCTCCACAGAGACCTTAGAGCAGCTTCCAGTGCCTGAGGGGGTCAACAAGAAATCTGGAGAGGGGCTTTTGACAAAGATCTGTAGGGACAGGACAAGAGAGAATGGATTTAAAGTGACAGAGGGGAGATTTAGATGAGATCTTAGGCAGAAGTTCTTCCCTGTGAGGGTGGTGAGGTCCTGGCACAGGTTGCCCAGAGAAGCTGTGGCTGCCCCATCCCTGGCAGTGTTCAAGGTCAGGTTGGACGGGGTTTGGAGCAACCTGGTCTAGTGGAAAGTGTCCCTTCCCATGGCAGGGGGCTGGAACTAGAGAAGCTTTAAAGTCCCCTCCAACCCAAACCAGTCTATGATTCTATTGTTTTATACAGGATTTCTTACATCTCAATTTTTTATAACAAATTTTAGGAGTTGCCACCACACCTGCCAGTCTGGTAGATGCAGGGCTACTGCAGTCCACCAGTGGCCAGGGTGGCCATGAGTTACCATTAGGAGCACTTCATGCAGCCTTATGGATCAACACAGACAGAAATACCCATGTGAACACAAACAGCACCACAGAGCTGGTTCTGTTTGCCTGTCTGCCTGGTCAGGATAAAAGCTTGCGAGTGGCATAAATATATACATGCCTGTAGAATATGGATCCCTACAATGACCAGCCACAGATGCTTATCTATCTAGTAGTTGATTGTTTGAGCCTCTTGCATCCTCTGGTCTCTCCAGTGTCTGTCCCAGACTTCTGACCTCTCTCATACCTAGCTGTCCAACTCTTTAGTGATAAATTTTCTTCCAAAAGCATTTCCATTATGTCTGTATAAGTGTTTGGGTGGTGCTGCTCTCAGTGGCTTATCTTCTGTGTGCTGAACAGTTCCTGTTTCCTCAGGCTGTCCTCAGAGGACAAGTGCTTCAGCATGCTGACCATCCTTGTGGCCCTCTACAGAGCTCACTTCAGTTGGTCTTTCATATTCTGTGATTCTCAACAGTTCTCTGATGCTGGGGGTTCCCAGAACTGGGTACAGTACCTAAAAGGTGTCTAAGACGTGCTGTGTGGAGAATATCACTTCCCTCCACTAGCTGAGTTCCTGTTCGTACAGCCAAGGATGTTTGTCCACTTTGCTGCCAGTGAGCACTGCTGGATTATGGTCGTGTTGTGACCTCAAAACTCACAAGGACCTTTCCGGCAGAGCTGCTCCCCAGCCTGAATTGGTGCCAGAGTCCCTTCCTTCCCATGGGCAGAGCTTTCCATTTATCCTTTTGAACTTAATACAGTCTTTGCTGGCCCATTCGTTCAGCTGTTCCAGGTCCTTCTGGTTGGCAGCCCTTACTCTCAGGGGTATATCACCTGATCCTCCCACTTTGGCACCATCTGTGAGCTCAGCAAGCATGCACAGATGTTACTGACAGACACACGGAGCCAGACATGTCCCAGGACAGATACCAGCAGTAGTCCACTTGTTATTGGTGTCCACATAGGACCATTGTCCACTACCCTTCATATTTGATCATCCAACCAGCTACTTGCCCATGCAGACTGTGACATCCCAGGTTGGATACTGGAATGTTGTGGGGAATAGAAAGTAAAAAGCCTTGCTCAAAATGAGATGAACAGTATCTACAAATTCAGGTATCATAGAAGACAATGGAGGTGGTCAGGTGTTATTTAGCCTTGGTAGATCCATACTTGCGGATCCCAGGCAGGAATGTGCACCAAGAAGATTTGCTCCATGATTTTCCCAGGATCTGAAGTGGGGCTGACTGGCCTCTGTTTCCTTGGATTGTCCTTTTGACCTTAATAGATACTTTAGATTAATGCCAGTGAAACTGCACACACCACACACACCCAAAAAAAGCATAGTCAAAACAATTCACCTGTTAAATTAATTTTCTTGCTTTTACTGATACTGAACCTAGTATTTAACAAATATTTTATGAATATGTATGATAAAAATTTGTAACTTCATCAGAATTTGGTGACACAAGGTATGCTCAAGGTCAAGATTCTGGAAAATGAGGGTGCCAGGGTTTTGTCACTTTGGTTTTAACTCCATTGGAGAAATGGTGGAGCCTTCACTTGAAACTGCTCAAAGCATTAAGCAAGTGCCCTGACTGGAAAACACAGACAATTTTGGTGCTTATGAGCAGCTGAGTAGAGGCTCTGGGCCTGCTGGGCAAGTCTGACATGATACTGTGAGCTCTGGTTTTAGCATAAAAGTTTTACTACAAGCATTTGAAAAAAGGAAATAGTGAGTTGCACAAGTGCCATTTTACATTGATGTTTTGGGGACTGAGCAGTGGGGTTTATAATTATAGATTTATTATTATCCCCATTAAAAAAATGTTTATGTCATAACAGCATTGAACTGAAATTGTATATGAGAGTTGTAATACCTCATCATTGGGAAACTCAATAGAGAACCTGCCTTTTGCAACCCTGAGGGAGCTCTTGAGAAATGACACTGTTACTCTGGGTTGCTTCAGGTTTTCTGTTTGAGGATAATTTATTGCCCCTTTAAACAGAAAATGACTTTATATCCTATTAATCTTTATCTTTTCCAATTTCCCTGCTAATTTAATGAGTTTAACTTCACTTTGACTATAAAACCACTTTTATGACTGTGAGATAGAAGTTAGTGGGCTTTGGTTTGTTTTTTTCTTTTTTCATTTACCCTTGATAAAGCCTGTTCTATTTTATCCCATTTTCAGTTTATTTCCATAGCTTTAATTACTTTCTCTTTAAAAATAATTTAAATTTTGCATCCTGCTCAGTCCACATTAGTAGACTGTGAATACCCAGCAGATTTCTGTCCTTTGTTAAACACAAGTGCTGTCAGGTTGCAGTCTAGATCTGCCCATCTCAGCTTGACAGGTTCATTACCAGACCTTCAGATTTTGGGGTTGGAAGTGTCTGATCTAGAATGGATTGGGATTCAGGAAGTTTGCCTTGCTGATCAGGTTTAATTGCTTCCGTAGTTTTCATTTGTGTGCATTGTGAGCCCGACTTTTCTTCCACATTCAATTTTTGGGTTACGTTTAATTTTTCTGCCTGGCCTAATTTTCTAAAATACACTGTTCCCCTCCTGACACCCTTTTTTTTTTTTTTTCTTTTTTTTTTTAATTTTCCTTTTTTATTTTTTCCTGGGTTTTTTTTTCCCCTCTCTTTCATTTTCCCTACTGTTTTCTCCTCTCCTTTTTTCTTTCTCCCTCTCCCTATTATTCCTAATATGGCTCATCAGATTATTCAACAAGATCTTCAGACCCTCACTTCAAGCTTGTCTGTTTAGCCAGTTCACTAGAAATACACCTTTCTGAAATAGTTGGAGGTTTTTTATGGACCTAGTTTTGATTAGTTAAATTAAGCTTATTTTCTGTCAGCATCCTCATTATGATGTGTAATTACTGCTGGTGTCTCAAATAACCTCAGAGATGATTCAGTGCTAGTGAAGAATTCTGGTATCTGTCACATCTTGGAAAAATTTAGGTCTTACTAATATTAGTACTATCGTTAGAGAAATCTTCCTTTATAGCATGGTATGCCTTCAAGGTTTATCAGTTTTGCTCTTTAAGCGATTTGTCTTTTCCAAAGAGATTTTTGATCCCAGGACAGTTAGGATGTACCTATATACAACCGTTCCAATGTTTTATGTGATATTATTTTCTTACCGTGTTGTCTGCACACCTTGCCTCTGACCTGGTTGTGTAGAGGGGTTGGAGGAGCTGAGCTCTGTACAGTCAGGGGTGGCTCAGGGGCATCCTCCATTCCCATGCCCACAGCTAAGTGTGGCTTTGGGGGGGAATCTTGCCAAACCCCCTTCTCCCTGCTTGCTGGTTGTGACCTCCCTCCCTCCCTTTCTTTTTCCATATATGCACAAGGCTGCTGAACACCTTGCTCAGCCCCCTTTCTGGTCTCAGAAATGTGTTTAGCACCATGGAGCTAATAAAAAAGCATACATTATCTCATACCACATATTCCTCTTATCATAGCATCACAGAATAATGGAATGGTTTGGATTGGAAGGGACCCTGAAGCTCATCCAGTTCCAACCGCCTGCCATGGGCAGGGTCACCTTCCACTAGACCAGGTTCCTCTAGGCCCCGTCCCCCCCTGGCCTTGAACACTGCCAGGGATGGGGCAGCCACAACTTCTCTGGGCAACCTGTGCCAGGGCCTCACCACCCTTGCAGTGAAGAACTTTCTAATATCTAATTTAAATCTACCCTCTTTCAGTTTAATTCTTAATTTCAGCATAAGTCTTGTGTAAGGACAGAAGTTCATAATCTAGCTCTCCAGTGTGTACAGTTTCTCTGGTGCAAAACTCAATTTCCTCTCTCCCCCAGCACAGCTGCCTGGCTGGGATGTCTCAGCCAGGGACAGAAGTCAGGGCACCCCAGTTCTCAGCACATCTGTGCCACACTCTCCTCCAGTGCTGCAGCGCTGGAACTCAGCCTGGCAGTGGCACGCACCCAGCTTACCATGGACTTTGCCAGTTTGGATTTTGTGATTCTTACAACTTCCTTTAATTCTATGAGACCTCTCAGAGGATTTTGAGGTTTATTTTGAAGGTGTAAGTTTGAAGATGTTGTATTCTGTAACTTTTATACTGCCTCCTTGCTTCTGCTTTCCACTTCCTCTTCCCCTTCCCATTACAGCTAACGCACTGACAGAATCTTATCTCAAACTGGGTGAGATGGGATGGAGGAAACAGAAAGATTTATATCATAGCATGTTCAAATATGTTCATTTATAAATTTCATCTTGGTAGATAATTTCATAAGAAATTACGTTCAGAAGAAACAAAAAAAATCTCTTGGGGCTTAAATGGATTGAAATAAGTATTTTTTTCCTGTAGTAAGCATGTATTTACCGTAGGGTTTTATTATATTTTCTTGCAGATATTTTCTCTCAAATATCAGATTCAAATGGACTAATGATATTTACAAAGTTTGATCAGTTTTTGAAAGAAGTTCTAAAACTTCCAACCGCTGTCTTTGAGGGGCCTTCTTTTGGATACACAGAGCATTCTGTTCGGACCTGTTTCCCACAACAAGTAAGCATTAACCACCCAGGATTTCTGTATCGCGTGTTAAGCCTGGGGGGGTCATGGTTTGGATGGGAGGTTTGGAGATGGGGTGGTAATAAGTGCTATATCCCCTGAGCAGTTTTAAGATGGTCTGAGTAATTAAAAATAGGATGCCAGAGTCTTAGGCAACTAAACGATTTTGCATAATTTTGTTTGTTCCCCCTCCTTGAAGGGACACTTTAGTTCCCTATCACAACAGCAAGGATTTTCTCTTTCTTTTCTAAAACATGAAACAGCATTTTTTAGTATTTTCCTGTAGTTAATTATTAAGCTTTCTCAGTGGTTTAAGAGTGTTAGTTTCAACAGATCACTTGTTACGTGGTTGGGCCTGTACGATATAAATACATGGGGTGCACATAGTTCATTTTTAAATCAATTTTACCATTATGCTTATTGGTATAGCTGTTTTTTTTTCCAAAACATTTCCACTACAGCTGATATTTGGAGTAGATGCTGGGATAATGATCTTAAAGAGCTTTTTTATTTCTTTATTGCAATAAATATTTATTTATTGCAATTTAATCGTTCCAAGGATTTGGTTTTAATTTGAAATAGTGTAAATAGCATAAATAATCCTTAAATCAACTGTAAGCATGAACCTAGATAATCGTAGGCCTAAAATTGAATGTTTAGATTATGTTCCGGAAGAAGTATTTCTGAAGTATTTAGATTTAGCGTTTATAGTGATTTTTGTTAAACTTAATCAGCAATTAGAATATTCGAAACACAACACAGTAGGAAAAAGCCTTTGATTTAGGAACTGATGAGGGCTGGGAGTTACTGAGGAGAGGATTTGTTTTACCAATAGTGTAATTAATAAATATTTATTTCTATTTCCATAGTGGCTGATACATTTGTGGGCCATACTTGTTTGCATGGGTATGCCACCCTTTCTGATCTGCTCAAATCACGTTTCACACAAGTGGCACTGCTTTTGAATGCAGAGCCTCAGCCTCACCGTGTGGCTATAGAAGTCAGACATTGGATTCTAAGCCCCACAGTGTCTGTCCATGTCAGCAAAAGGAACGGGGATGGGGTTTTGTTTTCTTGAGAAGCCTGGATTCTGGAAGTGACATTTCTTACCCCTAAAGAAGGGCTGGCCTAGCTCCCTAGACTTTAACAGTTGGCTGAGATCTCTAACATAGTTAATGCAAATCTCCCTACTGTAGCCATGTGAGCTGTAGTAACTGCCCTTGAATCTGAGCCAGCAGTGTGGCCAGGTGGCCAAGAAGGCTAAGAGCATCCTGACTTGTATCAGCAATAGTGTGGCCAAGGGATCATCCCCCTCTACTCAGGACTGGTGAGGCTGCACCTTGAATCCTGTATTCAGTTCTGGGCTTCTCACTACAAGAAAGACACTGAGGTGCTAGAGCGGATCCACAGAAGGGCCACAAAGCTAGTGAAGGGTCTGGAGCACAGGTCTTGTGAGAAGTAGCTGAGGGAACTGGGGTTGTTCAGCCTGGAGGAGTCTCAGGGGAGACCTTATCGCTCTCTATACCTGCCTTAAAGGACGTCATAGCGAGGTGGGGCTTTAGTTCGAATATTAGGAAAAATTTCTTCCCCAAAAGGTTTATCAAGCATTGGAACAGGCTGCACAGGGAAGTGATGGAGTCCCTGGAGGGATTTAACAAATGTGTAGATGTGGCACTTATGGGCATGGTTTAGTGGTGGGCTTGGCAGTGCTGGGTTAGTGGCTGGGCTTGATGATTTTAAAGGTCTTTTCCAACCTAAACAGTTATATGATTCTGATTTGCATGTGGCTTGCCTGCAGCATGTTAGCACTCTGGCCTTGGCTCCCGTGAATAATAAAGCTAATTCTTCATATTGATTTACTTTTAGAAATTCCTTTGCTCTAATTTTATTCAGAAAAACAGAATCTCTCATGTAAGGCCAGTTTGCAGAGAGTGGTAGTATTTTTTTAATTAATCCCGATATACAAGGTGTCCCGAGATGGTTCTTTCACTATTGGAAAACTTTGAAATGGGTCCCAGGAAGTAGATGGATAATCTGGTTTAGAATTAATCCCATTTTTTTATACCTCCCAGATCTGAAAACAAGCTTCCCAGAGGTATTTCTGTGATATTCTCCTTTTACAGCCTGTGATTTTGCTCCAGATGGCATTGGTAAAGCTGTGGGGTTTCAGACTTCCCCATGTACATGAGGAACACATAAGCTACATTTGCAGGAGTTAACTAAATACTGCCTTGAGCTGTCCTGGGGTGCTAAGGTCAACTGGAATTGTCTAACCACATCCATGTTACTAAACTCTTATTCCCTCAGGCAGGGTGGTTACATGCAAACTGCTTATTAAAAATGATGCCTAGCTGATAATAACACCTGATCTGGGTACCGGAATCATTTGGGAGAGTGAGTAGTTAAACTAGGCACAGGGTTAATAACATGAAAGTATGCATGATTTGAGTTTCAGGGCCAGGAATATTCCTTAGTGTTACTTAATCTACCAAGAGGCAAATCCTTCCTGGCCAGCTGTGGCTCCTGGCTACCCATGGAGGTCTTGGTTTCCAGGTGCCAAAGCCTAATAGTTTGCTGCAGTCTGAGAGGTGAAAGGGCAGATAGGCGAAGAACTGTTGGTGACTGTATACCCTACAAACTGTTTCGTTTCTTGGGTCACAGAGGGAATAATTCCACCTTGTTTACCACACAAAATGGAGTTTATTGGGATGCTTTTGGCAAGAGCTGTATTCTTTGTGATGGCTTCCAGATGTATAAAGAGCTTCCAGTAATACTTTGCTATTCTAGGTCAAGTGGAGGATTCCACAGATGTAAGATATCATGTCATATTTTTCTTAAGACTTGTTCACTTGGCCACAGCCCCTGTATTTGTCAGAGATGTTGTATCATCAGGACTTTCCCTGCCTTAAGTCAAAATCCTTCTGTGTTAATGGCATAACCTGTCCTGTTGTTGCAGAGGTGTGTGCACTTTACATCTCATTTACAGAGCAGTTTAATTGCAGTGTTCCTACTGAGCTGAGACATTCACTTCCGAGACTCGGGAGCCAGGAGCTTGGCTGCTATACGGTCCAACTGCACATCATTCTATTGAAATTCAGCAGCACAATCTATACAAGCAGGCCTGGGTAGGCACTGGTTTGTGCATGCCTTACACAAAAGCTTTGCTGAAGTATTGGTTGACTTAGGCTTTGCCAATAGCATGGCTGATAGTTAAACTAGCTAGATCACAAACTTAACAGTGTCAGAATGATGTACAGTTGCTAAAGTGAGTAATAAGGATCTATTAAGGACAAGATGGTCTTGTGTATAAAGAACAACATAAGCATACTCTGATAGAGCACAAGACACAGAATGGTTAGAGATACAGGTGAGGTCTAATATACAACTCTTTAGACCAGTATAACTTGTTTTGACTGCTGTAGAGTTATAAATCATGTGTCTTTTGCAGGCTCAGGGGATGTGGTTTTGTGCCACATTTCCCCACATGCATTTTGTGGGGAAATATATGCATTAACATTTTGTTGAAACAAGTGTGTTGGCAGTGTAACAATAAAACTGGCTGATTTTTTTTGTTATTGAAGCAAGCCTATGGTGTTCCTCTAAATACAAGAATAGCATTGGTATAACCTGTCTCTGCACTCACCTGCAGGAAGATCTGAGGCTGCAGAGCTATTAAAACAAGTAGGTATGCTAACAACAATTGGTAAAAACAGTTATTAAAATGGAGTAGAGTCAGCAGGTGATCACAGAGATTATCTATGCAGAATTGCATTTGCTCTCCTGGGGAGCATTTGACCCCCATGATTGATGTGCCTTCACATTTACTAATTTTCCATTTATGTTCTTGGAGTCTGGGAGCTGCTGGCAGATTATTTAATTGTTGTTTTATCACAAATGGTGGCTGAATGATATTTTGTAGTTGTTCCATGGCTGGATTCTGAACCCAGTAGGAAATGCTAGACCAGCTACAAGAACGGGCTTTGTCTAGGCTCGTTCTCCAAGACGTAATTTCTAGGAGGAGGCTGCTGTTTGCTTTCTTGTCAACTCAGCCATTAGTGAGAACGCCTCTGCCCAGACAGACAAAATGTAGCAGTGATAATATTGTGTGATTCTTTTTGGTCAATTGGTTGCAAAATATCCTACCTGTATTGGTGAAAAAACCCCGAAGCCTGTGTCCGCGACTGCCCTCTTTTGAGTTACATGAAGTTGCATCACTCTCTACACAGGCTTTGACAATTCATACAGTTCACACTGTGCAAAGGGAACTCGTTGGTTTTTTTTCTTTCTTTTTTTCTTTTTTTTAGGAATATTCTTGTATGTAGCAGAAGGAAGATCTCCTGCTACATTTAGGTGGTTCTGCCACTGTCCGTATCATATATCACTGTCTAATCATAGCTTGGTTGGGTTGGAAAGCCCCTTAAAGCTCATCTACTTACATCCCCCTGCCACAGGCAGGGACACCTTCCACTAGATCAGGTTGCTCCAAGCCCCATCCAACCTTGCCTTGATCACTGCTAGGGATGGGGCAGCCACAGCTTCTCTGGTCAACCTGTGCCAGTGCCTCACCCCCATGCACAGGGAAGACCCTCTTCCTAATATGTAATGTAAACCTACCCTCTGTTAGTTAAAAGCCATTCATTTTTGGCATCGTAATTGCAAATGAAAGCTACAGTTAATTTCACAGCCCCTAGAAACCCAGCCTGGCTTTTCCCCCATCCCTCCTTGCCCTCCTTATTGTGGGTGCTCTTTGGAGTAGCACTGCCATATGGTAAGATTAGATAAAGTACCACCTGACCCGCTGGCCACCTGCCTGTGAGAGGTTCTTACGCATCTCACTGCTTGTGTGCAGAAGCCAGCATGTTCTTTCTTTGTACCCAGAAGATTCTTCACTGGTTTTCTTACCTGTTGTCTCCATCTGCTTCTATTTGCAGCAGCTCTTTTGTTTTGCTCACTTGAATCCAAAACCTTAGGAAATAATACTCTTCACATGCCTGACTTCCCTCTCCTAATGATTTTGTTTCAGTTTCATTCTTAGTCACATTGCTTAAAATCTTAGTCTGGTTCTCCCCTTGCCTCTTTTTTTCTTGTTTTGACTTTTAAAAAATCATTTACTGTATGCATCCTGTATGAATATTCATTGTCATTATCTTTTATGTGTCTACTTTTTAGTCTTGACTGTATGTTTGAAATACCATCTCCTGCGTTAAATAACCTCTGCTCACATTTGTTATATTCCTCTTCAAAATAAGAATCCTTAACTTCATCTGGGAACTAATCCAGATTGACCAGCCCTCCATTTCTTGGAGTTTTCTGTTCATTTGTATATGTATTTTTGTATGATTATATCATGTCTACACTAAAACCTTCTTTGTGTTGTTACTGCTTATCTAACATACATTAAAACTCCCTGAGAAAAGAAGTTGTGATTTTTATTTCTTTCTAGCATATAAAATGTTTCTGCTAGACAGAATTTGAGTCATAGAAAGATTTTAAGGCTGAAGCAGTTTGGGGTATATGTATCTTTTTTTTCTTATAATTAAGTTCTATTTCTCTTTTCTTTGCAGAAAAAGATCATGATAAACATGTTTTTAGACACATTGATGGCTGATCCACCTCCTCAGTGCCTTGTGTGGCTGCCTCTCATGCACAGACTTGCCCATGTTGAAAATGGTAAATGGAATATTTTCTTGTTTGAAACATTTGGTCGGAGCAGGGTTTCTGTTCAAAGGATGTAAATGTGCTATCCTTTCTCAAGTAACAAAGCACATATGCCTTTGTTGTTCGTACTGTAATGGTCTTAGTCCCAGAGCATTTAAGCCCAGACTTTTGTTGGAGGGAAAAGGAATGAAGACTGATTCTTTATGAAGTCACCAGCACCAATGTAGAGCAAGTTTAGTTTCAGAGCTCTAGCATCACTGGTAGCAGAAGATGAAAAAATAAGTAGCAGAGAAACAATATTCTCTGAATGTTCCTGTTCTGAAACTCTTAAAACCCTTCACTTGAACGATGCTGTAGCATATGTTTTCAAGTGCTGACTCCCCAAGATTTTGGTTCCTATTCAACTGTCTGTCTTAAGTAGCATTTGAGCACATGAGTCACTTCAGTGCTCGCTATGGGAGGTAAATCCTGAGCTCCTCTGGCTTTTAGGCCTTTCCTTAGCTAAAATTCCCTGGCTTTACAGCCTATGCAAAGTGTTTAAGGAGCAATAAGGGATGGAAAACCGGAGACTAACAGTGAGAAATGAGTAGTGGAAGAGTCAGCGGCTGCAAGGGCTTTATGGAGTTAGGGAAGCAGAAAGGTTTCCTGCAGAAAGTCATGCAAGTGTATTGAAAGTATTTGTTGTTTATAGTGGAGAAAAGGTTTAATTTCTTGTACAGTTGCACCCAGCATGTGTATAGTGTTTTGTATGTGAATTTTAGAAAAAAAACCCACAACTTTTCTTTTTCTTCAGCCATAAATTCCACCTTTTGTTTCTTTCCCCACAGAGTAAAATCATCCTATCATCCATCAAAACCTCTGCCCTACTAGTTGTTACCTCTTTTTCTATTTAATGTACTCATAGTAATTTCAAGGTGTATAGACTTCTTCCTTTTATGACACAGGTAGTTAAACTCCAGCCACTGGTTTTGCCTAGCAGTTTACAGGCAAGGTTCAGCAGGCTGTCTCTAACTAAGCTTTCATGATCTGTATTCCATTCTCTGTTTCTTGACATTTATGCGTGGTTAAGTGTTGCTGTGATTTTGATACGCTGGGTGTTTGGCATTTGTTTCATTGTCTTCTCTTGATCCTCTTGCAAAGCATATCTGGTTGTGAATTTAATATGCATTTGTTCAGTAGCGAACAAGACTGGAGTTGTGATGCTCAATGGGCCTTCTTTATTGCAAAAGAAGAGAAGGTGAATTTCCCCAGTTGCTCTATATATTTACAGACATTTCCTGATAACTGGGAGTCTCACCAAAAAAGTGGATTTTTTTTTAAGAATGTTGAAAGGAGTAATTTCATGGAGACAAATCTTACGGGAAAGCTTACCAAAAGGTGAGGAGATTGACTTGTTAAAATATTAAGTTAGATTATGGTGCTGCAGTGCCTTTCCCATCCTGATGTGACAGTTTGCATTAACAGAAGGGCAACAGTGACTTTTTGCTTTCTTCTTCCATCCTCTTACCCTTGTAAACTTTTACTCCAAGAAAAACACATGGGGTGAAATAAATATGGTAAAGAAACAGACAGGAAGATTGTTCATATGAATTACAGGTCAGGATAGAATTGCACAGAGTTAAGGCAAGAATGAAATGGTTAAACATAAAGTTTGAACAGAAGTGACATGATGGAAAGATCTGGAGATAATCCATAGTCTGATAGTCTTTTCTGCTTGAAAGTACCTGGAGGAAATTATTAGATGCTGAGTATAAAATCATCCTTACAGATTAGTGCATGGATTCCTGAATTATCTGGCAGCATTATCCTGCATTATCTATGGCTCTTACTGTGCAACATGGCTGCTCTATAATATGCCATCTTCCTTTGGAGCAGTTGCATAAGTGCCCTGGTTGCTGATGCTTTCTTCCAAGCAGCAAGAGATTCTCCTTACTCGTCTCTTCTGTGAACCAGCCCCTGGATTTAATCCTGTGTTAAACAGAGGAGTCTTGTTACACATAGGTTTAGCATTCAGATTACTTCATAGCATAACTTCTGATGTTTGGGGCGTTAGAATTATGTTTCTAATTCTTATCAGCCTCTTCCACAGTTATCTCCCAAGCTGCTTGCTGAATTATGTTGCCATCAGTAATTCATGCCACTGTTGTTGCTCTCTAAGTTACAGTGATTTTAGGTTCCTCAAAAACTTTTATTCTGTTGCAAGTGGTATTTTTGCTCCAGAGTCAGCTGCATTTCCTCTGCTGAAAAGTGCTGATTAGGAGTCATTGCAGCTTATGTACAGAGGTATGTGGCAAGCCACAGCAGGCTCAGCAGGCAGGGAGATCAAGCCAGGATTGTGTCCCTACAGTAAAAGAAATTAAGGGAGGCTTGGTGTTGGAGGCCTGACTATGAGAAGGTAAAAATTGCAGATTTGAAGGACTGAGACAGTAGAAGGAATGATCGTGGGATTACTGGCATGCATGGTAGGAAAAGAAGTGTTGAGGGAAAGCACAGCTCTGCTTACAGATGTGCCAGCTAAGGAAAAGCAAGGCAGAAACTTTTTCATTTTAAAGTCTGGAATGGGACATACACAAGGGTTCATTTTTTGCTATGGATCTGGATTGAGTATCTCCTATTAAATGGTCATTTTCAATGATTAAATAATTTAGAGTCATGAAATAGTCAGGGTTGCAAAGGACCTTAAGATCACCTAGTTCCAACCTGTCTGCCATGGGCAGGGATGCCTCACACAAGACCATGTTGCCCTAGGCTCTGTCCAGCCTGGCCTTGACACTGCCAGGAATGGAGCATTTACCACTTCTTTGGACAACTGGTTCCAACGCCTCACCTCCCTCACAATATAGAACTTCTTCCTTTTATCTAACCTGGACTTCCCCTGTTTAACTGTAAACCCATTCCCCCTGTCCTGTCACTACAGCCTCTGATTAAGTGTACAGTCCCTGATGAAGAGAAGTCCTGAAGTGACCTGAACAGGAGAGAAGAGAAATACATTTTGCAACACTGTATTTTATGACATTCAGAAATTAGCAAACAAATGTAATATCTACATTGGATTATACCACCTGCTGTTAAGGCAGGAAGGGGAGCTGCCAGGTTGGCACTGGGAGGAAGCATGCTGTTCCACTTCATTTATCTGTGTCCCAATCACAGCTAAACTTTGTCACTTTCAGAAAAAAAGAAACAAAAGCAAAAACCAAGCAAGAAAAAGATCCCACAAACAAGCAAAAAAGTGCATCTTTTTTTTCTGTCTTGATGGCCAGACACTTTGCCCGTGATCTAATAAGCTCCATAACGATTGTTCCGATATTCTCTTCACCAGTCCTTTAGAGAGCTGCTGCTTGCAGTACATTGAGTGCTGCCACCATTATTATTTTGCCTCATGTTTTGTTTTATCAGAATGTTGTTACTGCTTTCTTAAATCAAGCATGTCAGTTTCAAGTGTTTGATTCTTTGGTTCAGGACGCTGTGGTACTGCTGTCCCCTTTTCATCAATAATAATCTCTTCTAATGCATGGAGCCAGAGAAGATAAGAGACAATTTTGAAAAGGTGGGGAAGAAGCTACAAAATGAAGTGGTACTCAGAGGTACATGGAACATTGCGTGATGAGCTGATATCAATATATTGGCTTTTATTAAGGTAGTGACCTAGTGCTCTGGCTTGGCTGGAGACAGCAGCCCTGCCCCAAGCAGAAAGGATATTGTGGGAGAGTGCGTGTGTGGAGGCATCTGTCTGTGCAAGAAAAGCCTTTAGGAACCTCTTACTTCACCCATCTTTCTTTCCAAAGGCAAATTCAAATGTATGTAAAGGTTCTTGAAAGATTTGCTTCACTGCTTCTTAAAATTCTCCATCAAAAAGTTTCAACACCTTCTTGGACTTGAAGCTGGGGTGAGATCAGCGTTTAAATATGCTTAGGGTGAGAAAGTTTTTTCCTAACGTTCTAGCATGAGTTTTTTCTTATTGCAGTTTAAACCCGTAAGTACCTGGGTTTTGGCCACTGGCTCTGGAGAATGTATTGCTATTTTGTAAGTACCTCTTGCCTGTTTGATGATACCTTCTCACAGTCTACTCCTAGTGAAGATGTCTACCAGATATCATTCTGATAATTGCTTTCTCCTGTACATCTAATTAACCCACATCTTCTTTGAAAGGTGATGCCCCAAATCAGACGTTTTTGATGATCATTCAGTGTGTTTATGAAAAATACTGACCAGTGTGTGTGACCTGGAATAAAGCCCTTTGCTCATTAGATCTTTCCATTTTGGCAATTGACTGCTCTGTGGTCTTTTTCCAATGAGATTCACATCCAGGTTACAGTTCTTTCATCTACTGTGTATTTCCATCTGTCGTTGAGTACACCATGGGAGACCAATTTAGTAAGAATTACTGAAGTTAAATGAAAAGCTGATGATATTTGATGACCGTTTCCTGTTTTCAAAGACACTTACTCTGTCATGGAAAAACATTAGGTTCATTTGGCAAACATTGTCCATGGCTCATTTCTGTTGTTCTTCAGGTGGTTACAGTACTTGGCTTTGTATTTGTTCCAGAGTGTATTCTGCAAGCTAAAACAACGTGAGAAGTCAGTAGATACATAGGTATAATTTCATACCTTTTTAAGGATCATACTTACAATTCTTGTAATGTCTCTTTTATATCCCCTGCTGGTTTTCTCTCATTCTGTTTTTGTAACTTCTGAATATTTTAACCCTCATTAACAGTTTGTTCCAGTTTTCACTCCTATGGATTTCCTTCTGCATTTTAGGCTATTGAGGAGCTCTTACATTTTAACCATATTGGTCTTTTACTGCAGTCTGCTCTTTCTCTGCACTGAGGTATCTTATGCTTGTTTCTTTAACATAACTTTTTTAAGGAACTGACAGTTCTCCTAACTCCAACTTCCTGCTGAATTGTTTCTTCTTGTAGCCTACTTACTAAGTCCCATGAGTTTACTGAAATCTGCTGCATCGAAGTCACATTTTTCTCTCCTTCACTTCACAAAATTCACAAAATTACTCTGTTGTCATATTATGATCACTTGTCATCATCTTTTTCAATCAGTTTCTTTTCTCCTGTGTGATACAAATGTGGAAGTCTTCCTTTCCATTACTTTCTCTACTTTTTCATTAAATAAAAAAAGTCACCAGTTCCTCTACAGTCCATTCCCAAGGAGTATTTGTATACTGAAATCCCCTACCACCATCTAGTCCTTTGCTTTATACAGTGTTGCTAGTTGCTGCAGTAAAGCATTGTCCACCTGACCATCTTGGCTTAATTATCCATGGCAGTTCCTGATCAGGTTAATGCTCAGGTTGACTTTGCTTTGATTGTTAGCCATGTGTTTTCCATAGTTTTGGCGTATGCATCCACTGTTGAGGTAGCAAGCACTTGAGCACTGTTTAACTGGCCAGACCTTTCTATAGATGCAGTAGCTCTATGTTAACTTCATTGCCCTGTGCAGTATTGCACCAAGCGTCAACTAGAACAGCTAAGTCATCATTTTAATAATAAATCAAACCTTCAGACTCTTTCTAATTATTTCTTTTACATCTTTCAGTAGTATATAACAAACATATCTGTGATTACTTATGCTCTAGACCCACAGCAGTGCAAAACTAAAGGCTCCTGTAATTCACCTCCACGTTCACCCTTCCATTCTGTTTCCCGTGCCTCACCTTCTAAGATGCATTTCACATAGTAAGATACCACCTTTACCTCATTCTCACATTCTTCTTTATTTTGTTCTGAAGACTTCTGTCCTAAATGGAGCAAGTCTGTGGTTGGTTGTTTATGGGTAGAAGAACAGGGAAGAATCATTTATTTATTTGTTTATTAGCTTGCTTCTGATGGTGACTCTGCATGGTCATACCTTATGTAATTTTCCAGTTCTCAAGATGTTAAGGTTTAGAGGTACATCAGGCATTTCTTCAGTTTAAGCTGTAGAGGCACAAGAGGCAGCTCACTGTTGGGGAAGAGTGAGGGAAGTTCTTCAGTTGAGAAGTGATACGGAGCAGAAGCCCATTGTGGTGCTTTGAATTTGTCTCTCCTTTAAAAAGCACTCTCAGCTGCCTCTGGGGCAAAGGGATCTCCTTCAGCAGCAGTTAACCTTTGCAATTGTTGCCTTTCTGCCTTTCCTGTCCACTCACATGTACTCTCAGTATTGTTGGACTTCTGTGGAGACCTCTGGGGCTGAGTATATCCCAGGAGGGGGAAATCTGCAGACAAAATATTGAACTTGTCAGGTGGAACTGCTTTTGAACTTGTCGTGTGGAACCATTAACTTATGAGAACCATAACTTGAGTTAATGGTTTATCTCTCTGAAAATACCTGCTCTGCACTCAAAATCCAGAATAACAAGTTGGTTTAGTGGTTAAAATAACCTTGGGGGGGAGGAGTGGGCACCTTTGGAAGCTCCAATGAAATTTGAAGGTCACGGTTTTCCTAAAGTTCACTTATTACTTGTTTCTTTTTTCTTTCCCTCTTCCCTCCCCATCGCCACTAAGTCTTCCATCCCGTGGAATGTTCATACTGCCGATGTGAGAGCATGATGGGCTTCCGGTACCGATGCCAGCAGTGCCACAACTACCAACTCTGTCAAAACTGTTTTTGGCGTGGGCATGCAAATGGTACTCATAGCAACCAGCATCAGATGAAGGAGCATTCATCTTGGGTAATTCACCTTTCTTTGTCATGCTGAATCAACCGCATCTGTACTAACTTACTCTGAAAGTTAACATTTTAGTAGAACTCCACAGCAGAACTTGAAAACGTTTTTAAATAGAGAAAGCATATGAAAAGATAAAACTACACTGGTTTTGTTACAACTAACATTAATTTATTGATGGTTTTCATGGTATTCAAAGTGCTGTTCAATGTACACAAGACGGCACCGTCCTCCTCAGGGCCTTAACATGTGCTCTCTTCCCCTCTGCACAACAGCCCCCCTTTTCTTGTATTTTCCTCTCTTCTAGCTTAAGAAAACTTAAGGTTGCTATACCTTTTCTCCCCAGAAAGGTGAAGCAGTTAGTGTGAATGGTGTGCTACAAAAGGAACTTTATCCAAGTGACACCTTTAAATATAGCATTTCTTCAAGAGAAAAATTCAGTGTTGTCATTGTCCTGACAACAGCAAATATATGCATTGAAAACTCTTAACTAAAAAGCCTTAAAGAAATTATGAGAAATAGTATTCGATTGGATGACTCTGTGATAATCACATCTCAAGAAATAATAGACAATTTTAGATATAAACCCCTATTTTATGGTGCAAGATTAAACCCAACCTTTTACTAATTCAAAGATAAGTTCAAATGATGATTGGATTATAATTGGTAATTATCTTCATGAGGAAGAGTCATTATAGTATTACTGTTTAATTTAGAAAATTGAGGCTTAGTACCATTCAGTAGTTGGAAGGCAAAGATAGGAAAGTTTAGTCTTAAATATTGTCCCTTTTAAACTACATGGGTAATAAACTTCTGGAATGCTTAATCTCAACTTCAGAGATCATTATCCCTAAAGTACATATAAATCCAGTCTGTGTGTTTTAATACAAAGACCTATCTAAATAGTAGCTCCAACTCTAATATAGAGATTTCTTTCTGAAGCCCTGGATTTGCCGCAAGTCAGGCTGGATGGACATGCCCCATTCTGGTACCGGGAGCTGTGAACCTGCTGTCCTGCTTTGTTTCAGTGCTAACTTTTGAGGCATTTGATTCTTTATAGGCTGTACAGAATGAGTTGATTTTAAGCTATAATGTGAATTGGAAGAGTGGGAAGTTACATAAATGGAAAAGAAGGATATGCAGACTTCTGTCACTCTTCTGTAAATTAAACAGTGCAGGTTGTTGTGTGACTGGACTCTCTGGACTGTCAGAACAGTCCCTAGCATTAGCATGGACTAAGCAGCTCCCAAGGTAAGGATTAAGAGTAGCTCAGGTGAGGAACCATGCCTACTAGACACCCTGGGGTGCAGCTACCTTGCTTTGGAGATCAGGAATTCACATTATCTGCCATCAGGACCAGGTAATGGCTCTTGGAGCAGTTTCCTTCCATAGTCTTCCTGTAGCAGGAGAAGGGGGAGTTACACATATAGAAGCAACAATTAACAAAATATGGAACTGGAAGCCAAATTACTGGAAACAGCAGGTGATACTGGGGATTTTGCAGAACAAAAGGAAAGGGGGTATGTAAGAAAATGATGATAGTTGGTAACCTTGAAAGAGGCTAGATTTTAATAGCCAATAAAAATATTGATACATTTGGTATTGAAAACAATTGGTCCAAAAGTCTGTGGAAAGACATTTAGCAGCAGCAAATTTGGCTGTCTTGTACAGGAACAATATGCAACTCCTTCTAGTAAGAAATTCCAGCAGTAGGTGAAATGGAAGGAACACTTTTCAAAGATATGCTTGTGTAAATCTGCCTGTAGGAGGTTTGTATAGCACAACTACAGTTAGGGCAGAACGTGAGCCAAAAGAATAAAAGATACAAAGAGTCAAGGAGATATTTACATTTCTTGTTCAGCTTAGGCAGTATCCAAATCAATGAAAGATGACATTTAGAAGCTAAAGGTTGTATCCAGGTGAAGCAAAGATGAAAGATGGAAATTGAGGACAAAAATGGGGAAGTTTTAATGAAATTTGTCAGCTGGTGAGCTTGGGGAATCCCAAGTGTCTTCTTCATGTCAGTCTTTAGTAGGACACCTCTGCCTTCACTAGCTGGTGACTAGTACTGCTTGGGAGAAGGGCAGAGCTGAACCTGATAATAAAATGAAGAACATCCAACAAAGGAAATGCATTTGAAGGCATCTGTTCTGGATGTTTTAAAAAAAGATGCAGTTCAATACAAAACTGGCAAAGGTCTCAGGTGGGACTAAGCAGACACAAAGTTTTTTGAAGGATGCACAGCTGAGGAGCAGTTCTGCAGAAAACAGGTTGAAGTACACAGCTGGAACTTGCATCAGCAGCATTTAGCTTGTGGAAGAGCTATATTGGTGTCTAGAAAGGGAGATGTAACTGCAAACTACGCATCATATCTTGGCACTGGTGCAGCCTCATGTGAAATAGCATGACCTACTTGCATGTCTGCTGAACAGTAGTATCTCACATGAAGCCCCAAAGACCCCTGCTGAGCAGAACTGAACATTATGGCTGATACCATAAAAAAATAAGTTTATTTTTCCTGGGCTTTCAATTCTGCCAGATCTAGTGCCATCTTGGATGGTGTGTTTTGAGTTTTGGAGCCCTAAGACCCAGAATAAGCACTAATAATAAGTACTTTCATAAGGTTCTTTTTCCTGACATTCAAAAGTGCCTTTGATAATTTTCTATGCTATAAAACACATAGTATAGTGCTATGTATATATATCTTTAAAAGTATATATATATATATTACTGTAGTAATTATATAAGGTCAGGTAGAAACCTTGTTTTGAAGGAGAGGTTTTGCTGCATGAGCACACTGCTTGTTGAGGCCTGTTTGGGGGGAAAGAAAAAAAACCCACATTTTCCTTCTGGGCTATTTCAATTTTGTTTTATTAAATAGCCTTAAGCACTGATTCACTTAGTTATGTACATGCAGCAGAACAGAAAATCAAATTGTTCATCTTGAAAGCATGTAGATTAGTCATTGTTCATTCTGTTTGTTTATTTTTGTAGTCTGCTAAGCTTAAGCAGTTTCTGTCATCTATAAATTTCAGGTAAAATGTTTAACCAGCCAAGTTACCCTCGAGGCTTCTACCCTTGGGTGTACGGTTTGATGGCTTATTATCAAGGGTAGTTGACTTAGAATGTTCTTCCTGCTATAAATAATGGAATGTTTGTTATTTATATCCACCCTTAACATGTTGGAGTGTGTATCAACAAATCAACCCAACGTTTAGTTGTTTCTATAGTGATAATATCTATGGCTTCCGTTGAGAAGTCATTACACCCGGTACTAATCAAATCTAAAACAAAAGACAGACACTTTTATCTAGGGAGGTAAAGGCTAGCAATACTGTAAGTAGCTGTTAATAAGATTTTACTCTCAGAATTACATCTCTTGTATTTCTGGTTCATTTAATTTCCCATTTAAACTACCTTAAAGTTATTAAAACTTTTTGAACATGTTTTTATTCAGGCCCCCATAAACAAGATGAGAAGGAACACGACGTTAAACAGTGTGCTCTGCTTCCCAGTCATGTTGCTGTCCGTGGAGGAACTTCCACCATCACATGGGCTCCTATTTTCAAGCTCTGTGGAAAAAAAACTGTTATAATTCTACATTTTCCAGCAGAGGGCATGCTGCCCCTGCGCACACAGGAACAGCCCGGACATCTGAGGCCACCACGTACCTGTTCTGCCAGAGCAGGAGGCAGGTGTGGGCGCCTCAGCTTCCTCTAGCCTGGTCTATTGGAAGGTGTCCCTGCCCATGGCAGGAGGTTGGAACTGGATGACCTTTAAGGTCCCTTGCTACCCAAACCATTTTGTAATCTGTGATTCTAAGATACTGGAGGAAAAGGGGGGGAAGAGAGAGAGAAACAGATAACTTTAAAACCCCAATTTTCAAGCAAATGTTCTTGCCAACCAAGTTTTAAATAATTTTTTATTACTTATGAATTTCTAAACCCATTGTAATAATTGTTTACTAGACCCTTTTGGTAGAGGTGGACATGATTTATGCATAGGCAATTAGAAGAAGTTAGGCAACTTTCGATAATGTAGTTTGTAGTTTCCAGCTTTTTAATTCATGATGAAAGAAGTATTTTTGAAGAGGTTTATCCTTTGATAGGAAGGCAGGGCGACAGAGAAGATCTGTAAACCATTCTGAAATGAGAAGGATCTGGCAACACACAGTACAGGTGCAAGAGGATTTCAAACACATGGAACATCACAGTTGCACTTTAATGATAATTTCTCATGACTTTTGCACGTAGAAAACAGTTTAGTGGGATATCTGTCAATAACATCTTAGCAGAAGAGGCCAGTCCATTTTTTATTTGGTGCACATACCTTTGTGTGGGTCATGTCAGCTCCAAGAGTGATGCTCGTCTGGATGCAGGCACAGCTCAGTTTTGTCTAAACTTAAGATTAAGAACATATATACTCAGCACTTGCCATGTGTTTTATGGGAGGTCTCAATGTAGTATGTTACTGATCACTCAGCACAGTAAGCTGATAAAAATAGTGATTGTTTATTAAACAAAATGTAGAATTCAGGGCAGTCCTTGCCTGATGTACTGATGATACGTTAACTAAAATAACCAACTCCGAGTGCTTGGTTTGCTTTTCATTCTGAGGCTGAGTGCCATAAGAAGAGTGCTTCAGTGGTTAATAGGAAAGGTATTTTAACCTTATTTGTGCTCTAAAAGTGGAATGTGAAAGTGCCTGAAGAGCGCACTGTGCAGAGCCAGGGTCTTCAACTTTTTACGTTACAAAAGGGAACAAACATTCCAGCCTCTCTGAAGTATTTATTTTACTTTTTTTGAGCTTCCTCTGGACTTGGAGAAGCCAGATGTTGTTGCTGGTAGGTAGACACTGTTTGGGATCATGACAGCTCTTTGTGAGTGTTGCTACTTGGGAACCTCAGTAACGCTGCTGAGGAATGTGGTTCTGCAGCTCACTGCTGTGGTAGCTGTGGAAGGAGTGTGTACCAACAAGCACAGTGCCTGCAGGAAGACAGCTGGTATCATATTTATGTGTCCTGTTCTAACCTTGGCTTCCTGATCAGCTGAAATATTAATTAAATGTATCATTAGAAAGTGGTGGTGGAAGTGATGTTGCAGACACAGGTCTGGTTATCTGGATTCATACCTAATCCAGTAGTCTGCCTCTGACTCCAAACTTCGTGTTTTAGAAGATAGGAAACCTGGAGGTGTATATCTCAAATAACCAGCTCAAGAAGGGAATGTCTAGTAACTGCATGCTGAATTATGACTTAGAAGATTCATTGATTCCTTATACACGGTAGCTGGTGGCTCTCACAAGTTCTGTTGTCCTATGCATGATGAAAAAGAACCTAAAACTCTTTCCATTTTATATTTATTGATTGACTTGAGGAAAACTTGAGTATCCCCCACTGATAGGTCCAGATACATAAAAGGCTGTTTGCTGAAGAAGAAATCTTAGAGAGACTGAGATTTTAAAAGATTTGTTGTGTGCTGAAAAACAGGAGTTCAACAAGAACCACTGCAGTTGTTCCTTGCTAATGTGCTTAGAACTGCAAAGCGTTACCAGCATATTCCTAGAGCCAAATTGACACGTGCATCCTGTGAACCTTTTGGAATGCTGTGGAAAAGAAACCTTTCATGAATGCCTTATGGCTTGACATTTTGGAGGACAACCAAAACCATGAGCACCTGTGTCCAGAAAGGTTGCTTTGGCATCGTCTTCAGATAAAGAGCACGTACTTCAGTTATGTGCCTGATGTTTTTTGAATCATCAGTCAGGTACCATCAGACTGATATAATGGCTGCAGTAGTGTAACTCCTGCTGAGTCATGTACCCTGCCCATGTAGGAAGTAAAACAAAATGGATTGCCTGCTTGCTGTTCTCAGGGGAGTGTGCGGGGAAAGCTGAAGGCAGAGCAGCGTGTTGTCAGCTGGTTTCTACAGCTACGCTTCTGTAGCAGAAGGCAATGTTGAGTGCTTGAAAGCCTCTGAAAATAAAGGCACATGAGACCATTCTCCCATCCAAAGCTGAAAATAAATAAGACCATAAATTGGACTCTGGAATGTGTGAAACCTTTTTCAAAGTGTGAAATTCTGTATTGGTTTTAACTACCGAATTTATTAATACTGGGGATTTTGCAGTCTTACATCCAAATTCCCAGCTGACTGAGATCCTGTTACAACAGATACTAAGTTGCAAATACTTCATAAAATATGATTTGTCTTCAGCTATTCACATCACAAATATAAAGTTGAAAAGAAACAAGATGAGCAGCAGGGGAGGAAGAAGATGGTAAAAAAGCAGCAGTGCTAGTGGTGGGCATATGGGTGGTAGTAGCTGGGAGGTTTCCAGTGGTGGTACCAGTGATGGGGAAGGGGACTGTGAGTCTGTGGGTTTGCTTTGGTGAAGAGGATTGTGTTACCCTGGGGCTTCCTGTTTTTATTTTCTGCTTTCATGAAGGAGAGAGTACCCTATCTTTGCAGAATATGGCAGTGCCTCCAGATGATATCAAACAGGCAGGAGGTCAGGGTTGGCAACAATGAGGAGAGAGAAGAGGTTGTTATTAGAAATTCCTACAGTAGAACTCATCCAATTGAAAGAAAAAGCAGCTATTTCCCAGGGAAACGAGACACATGTAAGAGGTCTCCTTGCTGGTGAAGCACATACTCATTCACCCTGCCCTGCTCTCCTCACTGCCAGCTGTGCTGAGGGGCATCATCAGAAAGTTGGGATCAGTGGAAATTATCTTTCCCCTGTAATTTTCAGAAAGCAAAGCTGCAGCAGTGGCTAGTCACTCTAGACAATGCTCTACTTGTTTGACAAAATAAATGGTGGGATAGCACAATAGGATATTGTGTTTGGTACCAGAATGGGGAAAAACAAAACAACCCAAACCTTTAAAATAGCCTAAAAGTACTGCAAGGGGAGGTCGCAGAAAAGGCACACTGAGAATAGATGGTCTGTGCAGAAACCAAAAGATGAGCAGGGTAGAGTAAAGTAGGAAATACTCTAAAAGGAGAAGCAGAGAACAAATTGGAAGAGAAATAAATGTGGAATTGTTGAACATGTTGAAGAATTAATTTAGGAAAATAAGAATTCTACTTTTGGTATCACATTTGTGTACGTAATTTAAATTTTACTGTGGACTTAGTAAGAAGTAATATAAAGATTGGATTGTGTTTTTCATATGATTTCAAAATACTTAAAGCCTGGGGATTATCTGTAGAATCTTTCACAGTGAGAGTGCTGTGCACTTCAGCACTGTTTGCAGGGATCATTCCTTGATCACAATCTGCCAGCTTTTCTCAGCACTTGAGAAAAAAAAACCACTAAAAAAAGGAGCCCATCAGTTTACCACCAGGGATTCTTTTTAGCACTTACTATTTAGTGAATCAGTAAGCTGGAGTGCTTCTGGAGATGCTGGTTTTTTGGAGCTCCCTATAGGACCTTCAGCTGAAGCAGTTGATTATCTTGCCATCCTTACTACTGAAGCCCTTGCTGGTGAAAGCAGATAAGAATCTCATGCCCGTAACAAGAATTTTGCAGTGGTATTTTGGTAGGGCCAAGACTTTTTGTCTGCAAAACCTGAAGGGTAACGTATTGGGAAGATCAGTTGTGCATTCCACCAGGTATCTGAGGGCTGATAGATGGATTTTGCTCTCCGTGGCCTTCATGCGTGCTGCTGCTCCACAGTTTGGATGTGTGGGCTAATGAATAAGAGTTACAGAATCTGGAAGGAATTAGGCTGTAAAATGATGAGTAAATGGTTTAATTTGTGAAAAATATGGTCTCAAGGTGATAACCAGACCAGGGTACACGTAAAGCAGTGTGAGATGCTGATGGAAGCACATTACTGGAATTTGATTGTAGCTACCACCTGAATCTTCTTGAACATGTCCCTTGCAGCCCAAAACAGTGCATGATTCTGTGTGCTCCAGGGATGAATGTGATCATGAGTAATTCTTTATTATTTTTTTTCCCAATACTACAATCATCTTGAATTCAGAGGCAGCCTCCATCCATGGTTTTTAGAGCTCTTTGTTAGCATTGACTGTGAGTCGTATGGTGATTGAAGGAGAATATCTTCAGTTAGGGACCAGCTGTCCTAGTATGTTCTCACAGGCATCCCACTCTTCTTTCTTGTCTAATTTGAAAGGAATTTTTCTCTTTTTTCATTGTTTTCCAATCAATATTAGTATTTTACTTTATACTTCAAATGCTTTGCAGTCTACTACGAACAATGTAAATTCACAGAGGGAACAACTTCTCCATCCAAAAAAGCCTTTACTGCCTGATTTGTATTGCTAAAGCCAAGAGGTCCAGAGCTGCAGATTCTCACTGGTTTAATAATTGCTAATTGTTTGTTTAATTCTTAGTAAATATTCATAAATGTTAGCGATTGCTAATTTCTGTTAACTGCAACTGTATGTGTAACTCGTGTCCTGGGTAGCCTTGCCTCCTATTTAAATAGGTGTTAGTCTGAATTTTAATTTGAATGTGCATTAAGAATTGGTCCTAATTCTACTTTGGAATGTCTTACAGGAGGAGTAAAAAAGTTACATAAAAGTAATTATCCACTAGGTTACACATACATGCTATGCTAGTGAGTTAGATCAGAAAAGCAGGACTGCCAAGTGTTTTCTCTCATAAAAGCTTTTTCTGGCCTCCCACATTACTGATGTCACTTCAGTGGATGCAATAACTTTTTAAGACTTAATTTTGTAAGTCAACTTCGGACTTAAAGAAATGTTTTAAGTGCCTGATTCAGGGCAGCTGTTGATTCTTGTTTGTTTGGCAACACTTGTCCCCAGCCTTTCACCTTTCCTTAGATGATCCCGGGATAGCTGCTCCCAGGATATTAGTTGACACAACCAAGTGAACTTGTGAAAGAAAATAAACAGGTTGTTCCGATCTATTTTAACACCGTGGTTCACCTTGGCTTTGCCCGCAGCAAACAAAAAACAGTTGCAAGTTGTCTTTCAAAAATCCTTTGCAAAGGATGAGGGGAGGGGGCACAGCACCAGCATTCTGGTGAGTCCCATAGACAGGAATGAGTGCAGAGCAGCAGCCGCTGAGTCTGGGCACCAGGTCCTCTCTTCCCCCCCGCCCTCCCCTCAAAACACAATGCCTGTGTTCAGAAGTCATTGTAAGTATAAGAAATCCCTTAATTGGATATGATTGCCCCTTGATTTATTCCTGGTAAAAACACCAGATGTCATCTTCATCTTACATACTTTTGTTAAACCTCTTTCATTTTTTTATGTTATAGCACAAAAAAACCTGCACAAAACCACAAAACTTGTTCGTGTATGTACTGATTTCTTGGGTACAGCAGAATGTGGCTGGGTATTTCTGATTATTCTAGGACAATGCATTTTTTTACACTTTTCTGTTATCTGCTTGCATGTATTACCCTGCTGTCTGGAATGGTCAACTCATTTTGTCATTCTTTTCAAAACCAGAAATCACCTGCAAAGAAGCTGAGCCATGCAATTAGTAAATCACTTGGTTGCGTACCAAGTAGAGAACCACCTCGTCCTGTATTTCCTGAGCAGCCAGAAAAGCCACTTGATCTTGCACATATAGTGTGAGTATCTATTTTGTTCTATTTTTCACTTTATCAGTGATACAAAGCAAGGCGCTTGTGGCTGTATTTGACTTTGGAATAGGCTAGCAGAGAGAAGCACTTGGAGGGGAATTATCAAGTTGCAGTGCTATAACTGTTAAAGGTGTTTCTCTGAAAAGTGATTGGAAGCATATTGTTTTGATAAGAATACATTGCTAACAAGAAAAGAGAACTAGAGTATGTTTGTGTGCAGTTAGACTAAGGCCTGATTCTATATTCTGTTTGCATCCTCTAGCATTTCAAAGTACCATTCTTACCTTTTGCACACCATATTGGATCAGACTAGTTTCTCATTTACTGTAGATTAAAATTATATAAGCAAAACTGTGTTGAACATATATATTTGCAAGTTAATGTTGCCTAGTATTAGTAGTAGCAGGATTTAGCTTGTTGTTGCTGCTGCCTGGGAGCAATGGCTTTACATTCTTACTTGTCTCACTGAGAGGTTTTCGGATTTTCTCTGTGCAACTGCATCGTTGTTACCTTTTCATTCTGAACCTATTGTCGAACCCATGGAATCATTTTAATGAAATACCATTGTACTGGTGTTGGTTTGAATGAGTCTGCTTCCCCAGTTTGTCAGTTTTCACATCAGAAGTAAAACCTGAGACAACAAAACCCAAACAAATTCTGTTACTGTATGTGCGGGATAAACTAAACCTCATAATAGATCTGATTTAATGTCCTACAGAGTCCTGAGAAGAAGCCATTTTGTGTATCTAAGTTTAAGCACGTGCTATAGAGAAGAGTAAGCAGAGAGGAGTAAAACAAAGGGATATAATTTCTGTAAAATGGAGGACTCCCATTTTCACAAGTATTGAGTAATTTGTAGTTCTAAGAGTAAGTGGAATTGATGCTCTTCTGGCTTTCCTTCGACATCATTAATACCAGATTCATTCTTGAGCTGTTTCCTCTGGCACAGTTTCCGAGTGAAGAACTGAGCTGTTCAAATCTGAATGTCTTCTAACCTCTGACAGTTCAATATCATGATGTGCTGCTTTGGCATTTTCTGTTTCCATCTGATTTGGATTGACTGGCTCTTCTGTACGCTCCTTTAACAGTTGTGGCAATCGTTAAGAGAAAGCTGGAGGCTAGCTTGTCGAAGTATTGCAAAGGTGAGAATTGCAAAGCTTATTGTAGTGTGATAAAACACTGGTGTTGGCTTTCTTTTGTGAAAAGCATAGATGACCTGTAACTTGACATGGCAGAGTAGTCGCAATGCTGAACTCCTTACCCACGTAGTTCTGAGCTTTAGCAATTTCTGCTTAGCTGTGTGATTGTTTTCTGCAGTTCCTGCATCACTGAATATTTATAAACTTTTATGCTTGGTGTAGTTCTGTGCAGTGAGGGGAGATGATCTGATTTAATGCAATAGAATTGTGCTGATTTTCTCTGTGAAATTGCACTCTTAAAAAAAACCCAAACCAACCAACCAAACAAAATTCTTGTTATACTCCTGTTCAATCCAGAGCTGAAGTCTGGGCTCTGCTGTAAATGAATGGCTTATCAAGCCTGCTGGACAGGGTTGTACATTGTCCACAGAATCAGTCCCATGCCTTAGCCAGGATGTGTCACGGAGCTTGTCGCTCAGCTTTACTGCTGGATTTTCTGTAGTAAGGGTTCAGCCTCACAAAAAAAAATATTTCTTGTTTAAAATCTTATCAGCTCATGAATCTGTTCACATTTTTTCTTTTTAGATTTTTTCTGTGCTGCTTCCACGCTGAAATGCACGAACATTCACAAGAGAAAATTAGCAGTTTACAATGTACTACTTCTATTAAAAAAATAAAATAATATATGTAATTGCATAAGTACAGTGTATGAAAACAATTCCAGCAGTGGCACTGTACCTGCGTGCATGAAGGAGGGCTGCAGAACCTGATCCAAAACTACGAGCCAAAGTTTTTCTTCTGACAGAGATTCCCAAGTTTGAGGAATTACTTCTTTCTCTTGCTAGGACACATTAATTTCTTAATGGATCAAAGAAGTTTCAGTCCTCAGCTGGACAGAGAAAGGTGAAGGCAGAATTAGGTGTCTTACTTTTGTATTTTGTATTTTTAATACATGATTCATTAAAGGTGCTTTTAGAGAAGCTGGTTTTTGTTTCCAGTTGGTAACAGCCTCTGCTTCAACTTACAAACACAACATTGCCTTTTTCCTGTGCCCAATCCCATGAGGTAGCAAGGTGGGAGCTGCTAGGGAGATGCTAGTGGGGTTCTGCTGGGCAAAAGGGAGCCAAAGGCACACTGGGTAGCCTTGCAGGAGCATATGGCCCTGGGGACATGTGGGTAGGGGTATGGTGCAACACCCTCTGCAGTCACTGGGACTGCTGCCTGGATATTCCTGGCAGCAGCAGGACAACTTGGAGACATCTGCTGATGCTGCCAACTTCAATTAAAAAAGAAAAAGTGCCCTAAGAAACCAAAGTATTGGGAAATTCTGCCTAATACTACAAGGGCAACTCCAGGAGCAACCAATAATGGTCTGATGTAAAAATAACGTAAGTAAATTGTTTATGTCAGACACTAAATCACATTAATATAATGAGGCCTCCAGGGAGACCTTACTGTGTCCTTAAGGGGGCTGACAAGATATCTTCAGAGGGACATTTACAAGGACATGTGGTGACAGGACACAAGGAATGGCTTTAAACTGCCAAGAGGACAGACTTAGATGAGATCTTAGGCAGAAGTTCTTCCCTGTGAGGGTGGTGAGGCCCTGGCACAGGTTGCCCAGAGAAGCTGTGGCTGCCCCATCCCTGGCAGTGTTCAAGATGAGGTTGGACGGGACTTGGAGCAACCTGGTCTAGTGGAAGGTGTCCCTGCCTGTGGGAGGGGGGTTTGGATCTGGATGAGTTTTAAAGGTCCCTTCCTACAAAGCCATTCTATGATGAAAATATAATTAACATAGGACAAAAAAGACCTACTGGGGTTTTTATATAAGTGATAACCTTTAGAGTTTTCAGTGTAAGAGATACCATGTAAAACAAACAAAAATTTCTTTTTTTGTTTTGTTTTGTGTTGTTCTTTTTTAAGAGCAGACAATCTCCCTCCTCCCTATTTTTTTCCTCCCTGTTTTTTTAAGTGTGAAAAGTAACATAGTCAGGGGCAATTTTTTTAATAGAACGTAACTCATAAAGAGGAATCACTTAGGGCCACAATGAGTCACTGTTTAGGTGTCAGTGGTCATGACTTGATCACATTTGTTTCATGTAAACAGGGTATGCATCAGCATCTAACACAGGCTTTAGAAGAGACTGTCTCACAAAGCTGGAACCAACTTCAGCTGAGTAAATAAACTGAAATATTAATAACTAGGAACAGTTTAAGAGTACGTGGCCGAATGTTCCAGGGAAAACAAGGCTTGGAAGGGAAGAAAAAACAGCTTTAGTCATCAAGGGAAGGAGAAAACACAACAATTGGTAGTAAAGAATGTAAACTGATGGTTTACAAGTTACTGGGGAATGGTTTCCAGGTTTTGGTCTGGCAGGGGGCTGCAGCTGTGCAGTGTAGTGATGGAGCAGTTCTGCCTTCCAGAGATAATGCAAAAGGATGTACAACTGCACTGCCTACGTTCATGGTCCAAACTGCATTTTGAAAGAATTTCTTAATTTGGATACTTACTGCTGGTTGTTGATATGTCTTGAAGCACTGGAAGAGAATTCATATGATCTCATTTCTTTTTCCAAGGCAGCGAGGGGGGAGTGTGGGGAATGGAGTCAAACAGGGCAATCTCTGACATGTTGTATTTACCAACAGGGCTTGAATGGTGAATAAAATAACAGAGCAGTAGATATTTTGTTGATCAGTAAATAAAAAGGTAACTCCTGCCAATCAAGCATAGGCTTTGGGCAATGTGGTGTAGTCAGATTCAGTTTGTATTTTTTTTTATGAGATTAGTTTTGATTAATAAAGCAATATTGTTGGCATAATGCATTTAATATGAGCATTGAATAATTTGGAAAATAATAATCAATACAGCACATAGGAGATTGGAGAGTTGTTTTGCTTATTGTACTCAATACAAGTGGGAAAAGGTCACTGAGTAGGGATGTTCTCAAGCTGAGTCCTGCACTGTTCAAGCCTTGTTTCTGTGCTCTTAACATTGGTTTCCATGACCAGGAGGACAAAGTGTACAGTCATTGCTGATAGGCTGGATGGGCAAATGAGAAAAATATTGGTGGGCTGACAATGAAAAGGACAGTAAGCTGTGCAGAATGACTTGAAAAACATGTGGAGGGCATGGTATGCACTTGGTTGAATGTGTGATGTCAGAGCGATTTCATAACCAAGGATGCTCACAGGACCTGCGTGCCAAGAGAAGAGGTGACCCTCCCTACTGAGTGGGGACAGGCCTCTGGGCAGAAAATGCTGCCCTTATACCTGTCATCAAGCCAGGTGTTGAAAGACTAAAGGGTTTGAGAAGGTTGATGAAAATTATTAATGAACTGGAAATAGGTATGGGAAGATGCATAGCTTTATATCGAACGGCTCCACTAGTGTAAGGGTAACACACAGAGGTTAAGGAATGATATTACTAAAAATATCTATCCTAGAGAAATTAAATGTAATCACAGGGTGTTTTAGCAGATAGGCTTAACAAAAGGCTCAGACCAACAGCTGAAGCTAGACACATTCTGAATAAAAATAAGAGCTGTATTTTTAATAATGAATGTAAGTAAATAATTGTTAGAATTATAGAATCCTAGAATGGTTTGGATTGGAAAGAACCTTAAGATCATCTAGTTCCAACCCCCTCCCATGGGCAGGGACTTCTTATGCTAGAACATACTGCTCAAGGCTCTGTCCACCCCAGCCTTGAACACTGCCAGGGATGGAGCATTCACAGCTTCTCTGGGCAGCCCATTCCAGTGCCTCACCACCCTCACAGTAAAGAACTTCTTCCTTATATCCAACCTGAACTTTCCCTGTTTAAATGTAAACCCATTAGCCCATGTCCTG